TCTCCTTGGGCTGTTTGCTGGGTGAGGTGAGCGCAAGGAGCCTGAAAAAGATGGAGAGAGATGAAGCCTGTGTCTGCTCTGAGGGCAGAAGGTCCAGAAAGGTGCCAGACCCCAAAGCTCCTACCTCATTTCCAACACCAGGGATATCTTCAGGTACCCTGAGCAGCGGCCCAGACCTCTGCCTGGGGCTCCAACACCACACGCACCAGGCTCCTAACGTAGGAGCAGAGGCCCCAGGAGCGCAAGGGAAGCCGCAGGAGAAGTGACAGGGCTTCTCCTCGGGCTGCTGCTCCGTGCATCTCGCTGCAAACCAGCTCTGTGGTGCACCAAACAGGGTCACCTGGCTTTGTGGCCCAACAGGGTAAGGCAGGAGCGTGCCTCTCAGAGGAATCCATGCCCCAAGGCGAGGACATTTCCTCGCTGACCAGGACAGATGGGGTGGGGTGCTCCTCCGGCACCCACTTTTTGGAAACGGGCCTAGCAAACGCTGCCTGCCCTCTTGTGGTGGCTGGGGCTGAGATCACAGTGTCGCCGCGTGTCCCCGAGGACGCCACTCGGGGCTCCTGCCCCACTTCTGCCCCAGTTCTGCAGGGTTTTCCCCACTCGGAGTTTTCCTCCTTGCTGTCCACGGTGGTTGCCTCCTTTCCTTTTGGTCTGCACTCCCGTAATGTCACAGGGAACCGTGGCTCCAATAAGCGACGCAGAGGTCATCCTGCGGTGTCCTTGCCGGGCAGGAGGTCAGCAAGGCCCCAGCCGATGCTCTCCCCGACAGGGAAGCACAATTCCCGCTGCCACACCAAGTCGTGCAGTGCAGAGGGCAGCTTCCAGCTCCTCCTGTCCTTCGTGCCATGGGTAATTGGGTGTGTGATGGGAAGGAAGGAAGGCGGATCGATGTACTCCTCGCATGGGGCTCGCACCTAGCTCACCCTGCTCCCAGCCCCTGCCTGCGCCTCCAAAAGCCCAGTGCTGGGTAGAAAGGTGCACGACGGAGATAAAGGGGCAGGGAAATCCTCGCAAAGCGAGTGAACAAAAAAACCTCAGGCGTCTTAACAAAATTTCATCCTTAATTTCATTCTTAATGTCATTCCCTCTCCTCAGTGTGACCCTCCACAGCGATGCTCTCCGTTCACCTCTGTGCGAACGCGCGGATGGCAGCGCCTCGCTGCGCACTCCTCTGTGCGCTCTGCGGCTCTCCCAGGGGAGACGGCAGATGTGGCTAGGAACGGGGAGGGGGTGGCAGATGGCCTGGGAGCACAGATAATCAAAACCACGCATAATTAGCTGGTGAAACGCCGCCCGAGGTGAGAGATCTTGTCACCTGGGGCTCCCTTTGTAGGCAGTGGGAAGCTGACTGCCTTCCAGAGGGTCACCGGCGCCTGGCCGCCCCGCCGAGAGGAGACATCTCCTCCCTCCCCGGGGATGGTTGTGGGGCAGGGGCTCCCCTCCCTGCTGTCTCAGCCCCCCGTCCCAGCAGTGCTCCAGGTGGCTGCTCTGGTCCCCGGCAGGGCACTGCCCGAGGTATTACTCATGCACGCTCAGCTCCGCTCCCCGGAGAGCGAAACCTCTGAGCTGCCAGGCCGAATTAGGGCTTGCGGCTCTCCACGCTTGCAGCAGGGTGCTTTGGGAATAGGCTCGGGCGAGGCACGCTGCTGTAAGCAGCCGAGGAACCCAGGAAGGGGTTGGGAGAGGTGGGTGAGCAGGGAGGGGGGAAAGCTCACACCGCTGCCACTCTCCGGGCACTTGGAGAGGTCGCCGCTGCTCCGGAGTTGTGTCAGACCCGATGGATGTCCTGAGGGCTGTCAGGCAGCATGTGGGTAGCCGTGAACCCCCTTTTCATTGCTGAGGGAGGCACCAGATTGCCTGCCAGGCAGCCGCAGGGAGGAAAGCCATTTAACCTGAGCCTGAAACCTCTGTGGAGCCTCACGGATAATTGCGGTGATGGAGAAATAGCCTCTCGTGGGGCTGGGTGGAGAATAAACAAACTGCACACAGGCAGCTCGTTGGAAAGGGAAGGAGGAGAGCACGAATCTGAGGGTTTCCAGGGACAGCAATAATCCCCAAGTGTGAAATGTACCGCCGAGCACGAGCAGCACCTGCCTCTTCATCCCAAATCGGCACATCCGTGGGCCGCCAGCATCCTGATGGTGGAGGTGTGGGGCCTGTCTGCTGATGCCGAACGGGATGGCTTTTTCGGGCTGCACCTCACTTCTGCTCATCAGAAACCCCCTTTTCATCAGAAATTTCCCTCTCGCAAATCCGTGATTTGGCTGGTGGCAAAGACCCCCGCGGGTTTCAGCGAGTTTCCCTCACACAGAAAAAAAAAAACCAAACAGCAAAGAAAGATGGAAAAAAAAAGGGGGGGGAAATAAAATACACGCCCTTGGATCTCCTGCCAGCAGACATGCAGTCTGAGTGTAGTCGAGAAAAAATGTGACTAATGGCACAGATTTCCTGTGAGGACAGCGATCACAGAGGTAAATGGCAGCAGAGCAGTCAATATGGCCAAGCAGCAGCAGCTAAGGGATATGGTTTAACTGGAGCAAGGAGCGCATCCCATCACCCACACTCCCCTCGTTGCGTTTTTAAAGAGTAACTTAATTGGAGCGACACATTCAGGAAGGCTCACGCAGCCTGCACAAAATATCTTGGATATTTCTAAATATAATAGGCTGCTGTTTCCAGGCTCAGACAACCCCGTGTCCAAGGCAAGGGGATTTTCTCTTACACATCTTCTTGAGACAGGGGAAGGAGCACACCACTAGCTATTGTTGACTGCTTAGGAACAAAAGGTTAAGGCTTGATCATCCTTGACCTTTTGGACATAATAAAGCTAGAACCAGTGTTATCTATCTATCTATCTATCTATGATGTTACAGAAGTTTGTGGCAAATGCAGCTTTCCAAGTTGTTTACGGTGCAGTGTGCTAGAATTAGGACTCCTGGGTTTTCTCTCTGATGGTGACACAGAGCACAGCCTCGGTCGTTGCCCCTCTTCCTTCAGTTTTCTCCGGAAAAGTTAATTCCCAGGAATTGAGCCGTGTGAGCTTTGGGGAGAGAGGGTATCTGAAGGAGCTGCAGTGCAGGGCCGTCGCAGCAAGTTGTGGTGTGGGGTTCTGGACACCGAGGGCAACGTTTTAGAGCCCTGTGTTTTCATTTCAAGGAGAAAGAGTGTAGGGAAGGAATAGTGCCAGGAAATCAGGTGAAACCTCTCCTGCTGGTCTGCAGAAAGGTGAACCAGGTGGAAGAGACCTACGCACCCTATAGCCTTCTCTCTCCCATTCTCTGTGGGGCGGCTCTGCTCTTTCCAGCACGTTACCAGCTGTGCCCTTGGATTCATCTCCGAGGATATAAACCCACCACATGCCTCTTTCGTACAGAAGGTGGCTGAGAACTTGCATAATTTCAGTTTGGATAGAGCAGGGCACAGAACTTCCCTGTGACACCTCGCTCAGAAATAGCACCGCTGACGATGTGCTTGGCACTGTCGTCTCCAAGGCACAGAAAACGTTCTGCCAGGGCCACAATCCAAGATGCTCGATACAAAAAAGCCTCCTTCTGGCTCACCGGTAGCCGTGGAAGGAACCCACCGGTAGGAGATCCGTGGCGTGGATGGCTCCAAAGGGTTGGTGGCAGCACGCATCCCAAGGCTCAGTCTGAGCCCGTAATGGGCCTGAAATGGGTAAAGTGTAGCGAGAGTTTGTGGTGGTGCTGGGCACCCCTCTGAAGCATTGCAAAGTCAAAGGTTACCATGAATTCAAAAGTGCAGGGACAAATTCACCTTTTCTTCCTTCACCATCCTTGGGGACAGCGCCGCTCCTCCGGGATGCTGACCCCACACACACCCCTGTGGCCACGAAGAGCAGAAACGCATCCATGGATGCAAATTGTTTGCAAATGCCTGCTGGTGTGCGTCTGATAGCAGACAGTGCTGCTGTGGGAATCCCAGCAGGTGAGGGCTCGTGCCCCTTCACCTCGCCCTGCCACGGTGTGACCGAGGATGGATCCGAAACCCTTGAGAGCCCAAATCTGCCTACAGGGTCGGGAAGGGGGTGCCTGAGCAGCAGGCAGTGAAATTCAGAGCAGGCTGTTCCTGCTTGCTGCTGTTCCCATGGAAACAGGGGAAAGGAGAGAGGAAATCCATCCCCAGCCTCTTTGGAAGAGGAGCTCCTCCAGCAGCACCCCGCCTGCCACACCTCTTTCCATAGGAGGCAGTGGCTGCATCATTTCCCCCTAGACGTGTGTCTCCTTGGGCCTGCTGCCTTCCCTTCCCTTCCCTTCCCTTCCCTTCCCTTCCCTTCCCTTCCCTTCCCTTCCCTTCCCTTCCCTTCCCTTCCCTTCCCTTCCCTTCCTTCCCTTCCCTTCCCTTCCCTTCCCTTCCCTTCCCTTCCCTTCCCTTCCCTTCCCTTCCCTTCCCTTCCCTTCCCTTCCCTTCCCTTCCCTTCCCTTCCTTCCCTTCCCTTCCCTTCCCTTCCCTTCCCTTCCCATGCTGAGGCCTTCCTCAGACTCCCCCACCACAGGGCTGGCAGAGAATCCCCCAAAGACGTTCTGTGCCCTGCTGGAGCTGCTGCTACCCACGGGAACATCCCACAGCCCCCTCCCCAGCCAGCGGGGCCGAGCTTTTAGCAGCCCCCTGGAGGTCCCCAGCGTGGTGGGGATGAGCTGGGGAGAGGCGCAGCGGGGTGTCCGTCCTGGGTGGTGTGTCCCACGGTGGTGTGTCCATCCTGGGCAGTGTGTCCCATGGCAGTGTGTCCATCCCCTGGCCGTGTGTCCATCCTGGGCCGTGCGTCCATCCCGCAGTGGCGCATCCATCCCAGGACACCCCACCCACCCCTCAGCCGTGCGCCCCAGCGCAGCGCATCCCTCCGGGGGCTGCGCGCCCCGCGCCGCGCCCCCTCCCTCCCCTTCCCCTCCCTCCTCAAGGTGACCCCCGGCCCCCCGCCCCCTCCCGCGCCCCCTCCCCGCCGTCCCTCCTCCCCCCGCGGCTCCGCCCGCCGCCCTCCGCCGCACCGGGCGCGGGTGCGGGCGCGGGTGCGGGTGCGGGCGCTGCGCTGCGGCGGGGGCCGGGAGCCGCGGGGGGGGCCCGGTGCTCGGCCGGTGCCATGCCGCCCCGCCGCCCCGCCGCCTCCCGGGGGGGCAGCGCCCGGCGGCGGCCGGGATAATGCGGCTGCGGGGCCGCGCCGCCCAGCCCGGAGGCATCGCCAGCGGGGCGCCCCCGCCGCCTCCAGCGCCACCACCATGTCCCCCCCGGCCTCGGCGGCCGCGGCCGGCGAGGGAGGAGGCAGCAGCGCGTCGGGGCCGCCGGAGGAGGCGGAGGGGGGCCGAGAGGAGGTGAGGTGCCCCCCACAACCACCAACCCTAGCCGGCTGCACGGGGCCGGCTGTGCGCGGCGCGCCCGGCGGAGGCTAGCCGCGCCGCGCCCGCACAGGTACGGACCCCCCCGGGCCGGGAGCCCCCCTCCCCTGACGGCCCGGAGACGGGTGGGTGCCTCGGGGACCCCCCCCGGGACTCGCCGCCGGGCTCCGAGGGGCAGCGCAGCCCTCTGCGGGGTGGTGCGGTGCGGTGCGGTGCGGGGCTCGCTTCCCCGCCGGAGCCCGCAGGTGGGGAGAGGCGGGCAGGGGGCTGCGAGCCCCCCTCCCCGCCCGTGCCCCCCCTTTTCCATCGCTCGGGTTGCGCTCGGAGTGCGCTCGGGGGTCGTGGGGGGGCTGGAGATGTGGATGGGGTCTGGGTGGCAGGTGGCTGGGGATGGGGAACGAAAAGGGGAGATGCCAAAAGGAAAGCGAGGAGGAGGTTGCTGTGCTTGGGAAGGATGCGCCGAGACCCCCCTTTCGCCCCTTGGGTGCGGGGGGATGCCAGGAGGTGGCACAAATGCGGGGTGGCTGCGAGGGAAGCCCTGCGGAGGGACCTGGGGACTGCTCTCAGGCCCAGTGTGGCTCAGGGCAGCCGCCGGGCACGCTGCAGTCTCCCCGGCTGGTGGCTTTCTGGAGCCCAGGCCGCGGGTGCCAGGGGGCAGGGATTGGGGTGCTTTGGGAACAGGGAGCAGCACGGGGCAGGCAGGGCTGCGAGCCCCCCAAATCGTGCGTCCTAAGGGGAGAAGCAGCAACCACGCCGAGAGGAGCCCCCGTGTGCTGTGGGGCCGGTGGTCCTGGAGGGCAGGTAGGCAGTGTGGGGTGGGCAGTGTTGTCCTTGTCCCCCATGGTGTCCCAGCTCGGTGGGGTGCCCAGGAGCTGGCACACCGCTCGTCCTCTGCTGCTGCTGGGGAGCTGCCGCTAGCAAGTGCTGCATAACCCCGGTGTTCTCTGCCTCCTCGGCTCCGGGAGAACATCCATGCAGACGCGTAGTTGTTCTATATATACAGACTTATATTTAGATGGAAATAATTGTGGGAGAGGAAAACTGGAGTGCAAGGACTGGGAAGCTGTACAAACGCCGTATGCTCCGCTCTGCGGCTCTGCCTCAGCTCCCGTCTCCTGCTGCCGCTCGGCCACCCCCAGACCCCAACAGGGCTCCCAGCAGACCCCGTGAGAGGCTTTTTTAGCACAAGGACGTGCTTGTGCCACGCTGGGACGTGGCCCCTCGCCTCCTGTGCCCCGGCTGGTTGTGTGAATCAGCGCTGGGTCCAAGTGGAGTGGCTCATGAGAGGTGCCAGCGCTGAGCCGGTTTGGATGACACAAGCGCAGCAGGGGCAGTGCCCGGCTGGGTGTCCCTTGCTGAGGGTGTCCCCTGCCTCGCAGGGCTTACGAGAAGATCGTCTGGGCTCTGATTGCTCTGCTGGTGGCTGCCAGCCGGGGTGTCAGTGTAATCGCACCCCCTGGGAGCAGACAGAAGGGCTGAAGTCCGTGACCCGCACGGTTTAGGCTTAGGGCACGCTTCCCTCAGCCAGCAGCTATCACAGACTGGCATGAAGCAGCCTGTGGGGGAGAGGGAAGCGGCATCTCCTGCTCACAGAGATGTCTGGGGACTGCAAAATGGGAACTGAGATCTGTCCTGATTGAAGGTGCCTCAACTCGACACGCCTCAGGTCACCTCGGAGCCCTGTAAGGCTTCGGCAAGTGGCAAGTGGCAAGCCAGCGCGGGCTGGAGACGAGCTGCTTTGCTGTCTGAGCTCCTGCTTCCTTTTGGCATCACATGCATACACCTACACTTAGCAGCGCTGAGCTGAATCTCACTCAGCAACTCATTTCCACTTCGGAGGGGATGAAATGCCAAGGGACTAGCCCCTCAGCCTGGGGACAAGCTTAAAAAACCCCCTTGTCCTGCAGCCCCGGGGGGATGCGGCGGAGGGAAGCGGTCCTGTTCCCAGCTGCTGTGTAAAATGGAGCCCTCGGTACCGTCGCAGGCGCGGAGTGCTGGCAGGCTTCCCTGGCTCCTAGATGCTCTGCCTTCCCCTTTCCTCTGCAGTTGGCAGCGCTGCCAGGCTGGGGCCGAGCCAGCTGCTGCTTCTAGGCAGGTAGTTCCCAAACCTGGGCCGTGGGCACGCGGGGGTGAGCCGGGACCCTCCTGACCACGAGTGGCCTTGGGAGTTGTTTTGTTTTGTTTTGTTTTTCTCGGCCCTATAGAGAGGTGTCTCCGGGACACCTACCCCTGTGTCCCCTGGGCCACCGTGTGAAGTCAGGAGGTCAGCGGGAATCGGAGAGCTCAGGCTGTTTCGGAGAGCAGCTTTGTGCAGCTTGAAGGGCTGCTGGAGTTTGATCACAGGGTCAAAGAGGTGGGGGCAACGAAGGGATTTTTGCCCACGTGCTTGGCTGTAGTCCTGGGCAGGTTTGTCCCCTTGAGGGATGATTGAGAGGTGGATTGCCCAGCTCTCCACAGCAGGAGATGCTCAAAGGGTCTGGGCTCTAGCAGTGACGGGGGCCTGCTCTTCTGCTTCCCTGTGTGTTGTGGACATTTCTACTTCATGGCTGCTCACAAATCATCACCTCCATCCTTTCCTCTCCACCCCAGAGCAGCAGCTGCGGGTGTGGGGCTCCCACCTCCCTTCACCTCGGGGGCAATTTCCGAAGCAAACGCCACGTGTGAGGCCCAGGAGGGCCTTTCCCAAACGTGCCTTCCACACGCACTCAGAAAACAGCAGCTCCAGGTGAGGCTGTCCAACACCTTCTATGTGACAATTTGGGCAAGCCTCGTGCCCTATTACTCCAGTCAGACTGCAGCAGGCAGGCGGCGGTGGCGTTTGTGCCACAGCCCCCGCTCCTCCGAGTGGCACCGTTCTGGGACAGAAAGGATTTCCCCGTCCCCTTGTGTGGGCTCCTCCAAGGCTGGGGAAGAGCTCGAGGAGGTGACCTTCTTCGGCTGTTCCTGCGGGGGAAGCCTTGGTGCTGCTTGTTTGCTCCCGAGAGCCCCGTGCAGCCCGGGAGAGGAGCAGGGATGCTGCATTTCCTACCGGGATTAGCCTCTGCAGCTGGCTCCTCCTCCGCCTCTGCTGTGGTTGTGTCCCCTGTTATTGGCACTCGAACGGCTCTCAGCAACCCCACCGGCGCAGCCGATGTCTGCGTGTTTTACCTCAAAAGCCTGGGACGAAACGGGCTTGTAAACAGTTTTACGGCAGGGGTTAGCGTGACCCCGGGGAAGCGCTGCAGTGTCTGAGTGCCGCGTAGCCTCAGGAGGAGACTGGAGCGTGGACTGGAGCCCTGCTAACACAGTTCCTGGAAGCGAGCCGCGGCTGCATCATCCTCCCTGCTGCCGTGCCCCGGCTCCCTGCCTGCAGCGGGCTCTGCCGGGATCCCTGCAGAGCCACCCCACAGAGCCCCCCGTGTCTTCCCCAGCTCTGTGCCCCTGCCACCAGCTCCTGCCCTCAGCTGGTTGCCACAGAGCAGGGCCTCAGTGCCACCTGGGACCCCCAGAGCGCCGTGCCATCGTTCCCCCCCTGGTGTCACCGTCCCTTTTGACGTGCTGCTCACCCAAGGCCGGCTGCTGGGGGCAGCAGGGAGGGGAATTGTGCTGCCTCCGGGAGAAAAAAACCTCTGCTGGAGGCTTGGGCTGGGTCCAGCCCCACTCAGCACCGTGGCAGAAGTCCCACTGGCATGGGGTGGGCCAGGCTTTGGCACGGAGCAGGGAGGAAAGATTGGCATGTGGGACTCTACGGGACCAAGCCAAGGGGTGGGGGGCTCTCTTAGGAGGGCGAGGGGGACTTTTTAGAGGGAAGAAGAGGCCCAGATCACTTCCTAGGCAAAGGCAGCACGGCCTCTGATGAGAGAAGGGAGCCCGAAGGCATGGCACATGCAGATGGAGATGGGACACAAAGCTGAAACCCTCTGAGGGACCTTTGTGGCAAGGCTGGGGTTCCCACCTCCTCTCTCTTTGGAGCTTGCTGTGTTGGATGGCGTCTGTGCTGGAGGAAGTCTCGTGTATAAAAAAAAAAAAACAAATAACCTCTTTGCATGTCCTCCCTTGGGGTTTGGTAATTGACCAAACAAGCACCTGCTGGATCAATACTCGAGACTTCAGGGTGTTGCAGAGCGTGACAAAGGTTTCCTTAAGAGGAGGGTTCCCCAGGTTTTTATGAAACCCTGCACAGTTGCTGTGGCGAACGCACCGGTACGGTCCCTCTAAGAAGTCCCGTGGCTGAAGTCCTGCCCCTTGGCCATCACTATAGCCCTGAGAGCAGTTCTTAGAGAAAAAGGCACGAGCTTCACACCCACTGCCCCAGGACGTGGGACATGTCCCCCACCAGGGCTGCGGAGGAGGGGGGGTCTCCCTTTGGGGTGGCACTGTGCCACCTGCACCTCGGCTCGCTCCGTTCCCCGTCCAGAGCATCCCGCCTCCTGCTCGCCTTCCTCCCGCTGCTTCATCCCACTGACCTCTCCTCTTGTTTTCTCTCCCCCTCTCCCCGGCCCCCCCCCGGAGCAGCAGCGGCCGGTGAAGCAGTCTCTGAGCAAGTCTCTGTGCCGGGAGTCCCACTGGAAATGCCTGCTGCTGTCGCTGCTGATGTACGGCTGCATGGGGGCCATGACGTGGTGCCACGTCACCAAGGTGACCCGCCTGACCTTCGACAGCGCCTACAAGGGCAAGTCCATGATGTACCACGACAGCCCCTGCTCCAACGGCTACGTCTACATCCCGCTGGCCTTCCTGGTGATGCTCTACGTGGTGTACCTGGTGGAGTGCTGGCACTGCTACACCCGCAACGAGCTGCAGTACAAGGTGGACGTGGAAAGCGTGCACGAGCGAGTGCAGCGGATGCAGCAGGCCACCCCCTGCATCTGGTGGAAGGCCATCAGCTACCACTATGTCCGCAGGACCCGGCAGGTGACCCGCTACCGCAACGGGGACGCCTACACCACCACCCAGGTGTACCACGAGCGGGTCAACACCCACGTGGCGGAGGCCGAGTTTGACTACTCCAACTGCGGGGTTAAGGACATCTCCAAGGACCTCATTGACCTGGAGAGCTACCCGGCCACGCGGCTCCGCTTCACCAAGTGTTTCAGCTTCGCCAACGTGGAGTCGGAGAACTCCTACCTGACCCAGCGGGCCCGCTTCTTCACGGAGAACGAGGGCCTGGATGACTACATGGAGGCCAGGGAGGGCATGCACCTCAAAAACGTGGACTTCAAGGAATACATGGTGGCCTTTTCCGACCCGGACAACCTGCCTTGGTACGTATCCCACTACGTCTTCTGGGTGGCTGCTCTGCTGACCCTCTCCTGGCCCCTGCGGGTGCTAAACGAGTACCGCACCTCCTACGTCCACTACCACGTGGAGAAACTCTTTGGGTTTGACTACGTGGCGGTGACGCCGGCCGAGGAGCGCTCCTTCTGCCGGAGGATGCCCCGCGTCAACACGGTGGACAGCACCGAGCTGGAGTGGCACATCCGATCCAACCAGCAGCTGGTGCCCAGCTACTCGGAAGCCGTCCTGATGGACTTGGTGGGGCTCTCGGGCTGCACCAGCTACTCGGCGTGCCGCTACGGGGGCTACCGGCAGAACTGCGAGCGGTGCCACAGGACTATAAGCAGCTCGTCCATCTTCTCCCGCAGCGCCCTGAGCATCTGCAACGGCAGCCCCCGCATCCCCTTCAGCAGCAGCCGCTTCTCGCTGGGCCGCCTCTACGGCTCGCGGCGCAGCTGCCTGTGGCAGAGCCGGAGCGGGAGCCTGAACGAGCAGAGCTGCCCCACGGAGCAGACCCGCCTCTCCAGCCAGGTCACGGTGGAGGAGGAAGACCCCCCTCCTTACCAGGACGCCCTCTACTTCCCCATCCTCATCGTGCACCGCAACGAAGGCTGCCTGAACCACGACCACCGTCACCTCCACCGCAACGGGTCCTGCGTGGAGACCTCACTGTGAAGGCAGGGGGGGCACTGGGATCTCGTTGCCCATGGCCTGGCCCGAGCCAGCGCAGGATTTGGGGAGAAGAGCGCCGGGGAGGGAGACGGCCCGGGAGGACGAGGCGGGACTGGAGCGGTGGCTCTGACCTCCTGGGGGGGTGAGTGATGGATGGTGCTCTCCCTGACTGTGGCACAGGACTCCAGACCGACCACCACATGCAAAAAAAAGAAACCCCGAAACCATAATTCAGCAGCGTGGAGACCCAGAGGGGGGAATGAAAAGACGGGCCTGTTGCAGGGAGGGGGGTGCTTCGGCTCCCAGCTCCGTCTGCAGGCTGGAAGCAGCGACCACCAAGCGCCCTGTCGCACCTCTCGCCACCCCTGCTCCCACTGGCACCAGAGCCAGAGCCCTGGCAGGGTGCAGGGAGCGACCTTACCTGCCCGTGGGGTGCCCAGGAGCTGACGGGCAGGTCAGAGAGAAGGCTGAGCGCCACGAATCCAGCTTCCCTCTGCCCCAACTGCTTCCCACCCTCCCCGTTTGTTTTTTAGACCGCGCTCCGACTGTTAGGTGCTCTCTTTGCCGGGAACGGCGTCGTCTCTAGAAGACCCCGGGCACGGCTCCCGGGGAAGCTTTGGGATGCCAGCTCTGAGGGTCAGCATCCCAGGGGCGAAGGGCTGTGTGCTCGGGAAGGCAGTGCTGGGGAAGGGATGGAGGTGTGGACACAGGGGGAGAGGAGAGCAACACCGACCTGCTGGCTGGAGGAGGGCTCAGCTGGAAGGAGCGCAGGAGGCCCCTGGTGAGCTGGGGAAGGGGACGGGGCTGGCGCTGGGACAGCATTGTGCTAAGAGCTGGTGTGTCTCTTGGCAGGGGTCCCCAGCCTCGAAGCGGGTCCTAATTGCTTCAGGCGCAGGGAGGTTCAGCTGCAGCTCACCCACTGATAGAAGGCCAGCAGGGTGGTGCATGTCTGCAGGAGGGTGTTGTGCACCAAATCAGGCTGATTTCTGGCTGCAGGCGGAGCCGCAGACTTCTGGCAGCTTGGCTTTGGCAGAGAGCTCTGAGGGGCAATGAGGGAGAAAGGCAAAAACACGCTGGAGAGTTGGGAACCCCGGGCTGGGGACGTGGGGAGCACAGCAGGGAGGCGTCCGCCACCAGAACAGAGCCTGGGGAGGTGTTAGAGGGGAACCTGCTTAAAACCAGGCAGCTTTTGCTATGGGGGTATTTCCAGGGAGGCGTCAGGGGAGCTCTGTGCAGCTCCCCGGCTTCTCTGCCTTGCTCTGGTTGGGGCACGCTGGCCTGCACTGAGCTCCGTGCTGTCCCCTGCTAGGAAGGAGCCTTCGTGTCACCGAGCCTGCAGCACAAGGGCATCCGGCTCTTCTTCTCCGTCAGCACGTCCCCAGGTCTCTCGTGTCACTGCTCTCAGAAAAGCTGTCTCCTTTTCCATCAGCTCTTTTGGGAGGTGGATGCCAAGGCAGCCAGTGACGTCTCCTGCCAGCGCTCCTCAGCCTCACCACGCTTCCCTCATCTGCTGGGGCAGAAGAAATCCAAGAGCAACGTGTCATGGGTCGCACGAGCAAGTCCATTTCTCGAGCTTGGTGTCTCCACATCCGTATCGGAAGGGCAAGACACAGCAAACAGCGAGGCACTGTGTGTAATCCAGCCACAACTCCTCCTCCTCCCAACTTGTTGATGAAGGATCTGGTTCTCTAGGCACGCCACTGCATTGCTGCACCGACCGGGTCTCGGGGACCACGCCGCCTGGCTTTTGAAAATCATCTCCAGTGGGTTAAGTCTGGAACTGCAGGATCCTTCTCTGCTGCATCTCTGCAGGATGCACAGGCAAACAAGGCTGGGCTTGGCTTTGCCCCCAGGGTTGTTCCTTCTGCTGCTCTTTGTGCCTGCATGCCCTGGACAGCGTCTCTTGCCCTCCCGGATTGATTTGTCCTCCTGCGTCTCAAGGGCTGGACTCCAAACAACGGTGATTTGAACAAAAAGTCCCTTAAAATCTCACTGTTATGCTTCTGTCTTGTAATCTACCCTTCCTCTCGCTGCCAGACCTAGATGTTAGGCTTAAATAAGAGGGCCCCTGTGGAAACAGGGAAGCACAAGGTCTCCGGTGTGGGTACATCCTCCTCTGCTTTTTGTTCTCGTTGGCACAAATTCAGGCCGGGTAGCAGTGCCCTGCTGGCTGTCCTGGAGTTTCCTTGCTCAGTGATTACATTTGGCTTGCTGGGCGCTTGTGCTTCTCTCTCCGAGGGCCCGACGTAAGCTCCGGCCAATGCTGAGGATCCTGGTGAGTCTCTCACGAGAATCCCCTCACGAGGTTTCTCCAGGAGCACACAGGCCCAGGCTCCGGAAGGCTCTGCTTTTTTCCACCTGCCCTTCACCCCTTGCAGCTTTCCATGGCCGTGGAGTCAGACTTGCACGGCGCTTGCCAGTGAGTTTTCCTCTCACACCAGGGCAGGGGCAGTGGGAGCACGGCCAGCTGCTTTGGGCTAGACAGGACTGACGTGTGAGTCAGTCGGAGAGGGCTTTTGGGCTGAAAAACGGTGGGTTCATTAGCACAAGGGGAAGGAGTCAGCCTGTGGCCCACCCCAAGCCTTCCAGAATCACACTCCAGGCAAATACTCAGGGTTAGCGCTGGGGAAGCTGCTGTTTGACCTCAAACAAGCACAATCCCTTCTTCTTCTTCCCCCAAAAATGCACACTGGAGACCCACCCCACCTCTCCTTCCAGCCTTTCAGTTATGGCTTCAGTTCTGTAGGACGCTGCCTTTCCTCTCGCAGGGCAGAGCAGTGCGCTCCTACGCTGCTGCAGCAGCTGCAGGGTCCGTGTCTGCGAGAATACGAAGTTGGGATCGGGATCTGCGTGATCACAGAAACGTGGCGTGGTTTAAGCACAGCATTAATGGGCCGTGGTCGTCCCTGGTGTAATGCCACTGAAGCCAGTGGTGCCGTGCCAGTGCCAGCATGGCTTAGCAACTCCCCAGGGCCATCGCTCCTTGAAGCCAAACTGATCTGCTGCAGTGGTGCTCTGATGCACAGAGTTCGTGTTGGGGTTGGCCAGCGTGGGTGAATGGTGGATATCTGCTGGCTCTTCAAGCCATGGGTTGAATTGTTCTGCTCTGCTGCCTCCGCCACAGCTGCTCCGCGAAGGGAGATGTTATGCCTGTGGATGTGATCTCAAAAGCAAGCTAAAACGAGCAAATTGACCTCTACCGCACCGGGAGAGCAGCCTTCTTCCACAGCACCGCAGCCACACACGAGGGAAAAGAGGTCCCAAGGTCGGAACTGAACCTGCAAGACCCGTGGCCTCCAGGATTGCTCTTCCTTCCTTCCCTCCTCGCTTTCTTTGTCTTACCTGGGGGAGGGACAGCTTCCTCGCGGAGGTGAGCCAGCTCCTCGTCCTGCAGCCCCAAGGCAGGCCCTACAAGCAGGTACATCCTCCACCTATGCAACACTCCCAGGATCTGCTGTGTTTTCAGGAGCCCATGACGACGTGCAGCACATCCATCCAGCACTGAGAACAAGCACAGCTGCTGCTAAATGGGTTTTATTCCTCCCCTCCTAACGAGGACCGCTTTTGTTGGGGCCTTTCGCTCATTCGTTTGGGTTTTGTAAACTCTGGACTCCTGGGTAAACGAAGCTTGCAAGAAATCGGTGCCCATCCCGACCCGTCCCCATCCCTCTGAACTTTGGGAACGGGTGGATCAGCTGCTGTGACTGTCGTTTCGTGGGCTTCGTAGAGCAAAGTAACTTCAGGCACAGCCACACAAGGGTCTTTCACTCCCCATCAGCGCAAGCTGCTTCTGCAACCGGAGCTACTCGCATTAGCGAGAGGAAAAAAGCCTCGCTAGGCTGCGTGGAGATGACTTAGTGTTTTGCATCCGTCCCACGGTCCCAGTGGCCATTAGCAGCGCTGTCAGCTGCCGTGCCGTGAGTTCGGGCTCTGGATGGCAGCCCACGAAGCGGGCAGGGTGAAGAGGTTTGGAAGACCCAGAGTCTGTACGCGTCTGCAGAGCACACGCAGGGAGAGGCCTTGAGAGCGTTTCGGGTTGCTGCTCCTTGCTTTAGAAATGGAATCGCTGAGGATGGTGCGGATTTAGGCACCCTGCTCCAGCCAGCTCTGCTAGAAATGTGCAGTGCTCGTGGAAAAGGGGTGCCAGAGGAAGGTTTAGATAGTGCCACAGGGGCTTTGCCGTGGGGTAGGGTGATCAGGAACGGAGGCTGGAGCTTAAAATCCCCCTCTGCACCTAGATAGAGGTCTGGGCTTGGCATCCAAACGTGTATTGATGAGGGGCAGGGCATGCTGCTGGGTGCCCACGTGCAGTGCTGGGGGATGCTGCCCCACAGAGGAGCTCGTGTTGGTGGCTTTGGTCTGGTACGGCCCCTCTGTTCCCATAGGGAGTGTTTTTTGGGGTGGCAGGGCACTGCTCGTGGCTTGTGGGAGGAAACTCCTGACCTGGATTTTGCAGGAGGATGGCGCGAAGTGTCACATTTGCTGCAGTGACTGGCAGGGAGCCGGGATCAGAGCACGGAGCAAGCTGTGTTGGAGATGAAGCCCATCCCCTGCCGGCTGCCTCAAGTGCGAGAGCTGTTGGATCTGCTCCCTGGCCAGCGCGCTGCGGCTCCGCTCGCCCTCCCCAAACCTGGTGTGAAAATGCTCTCTCGTGGCTGTGCTGGGACCGGGGGGGGCGCAGAGAGGGTGTACGGGGTCAGCCTCAGAGGCTTTGCAGGTGGGGTGATTTTTGTGGGAGACGCGAGGCTGGGCAGGGCCAGGCTGTGCTGGAGCAGCGGTGTTTGGGGGCAAGGAGAGGGAGCAGGGCAGCGGGTGGAGAAGGCCTGGGATCTATCAGGCTTTTGGGGCAGGCTGTGCGTGCCCCAGGGGACGTGCAGGAGGCATTTCCCAGCCGAGGTGCCCATCCCAAGCCTCGCTGCATCATCAGAGCAGCGCTGCTGCCTCCGAGCCCCGCGCTGACAGCTGGGGCACGTGGCAGCGAGCCGCAACGGCTGATGCAGCCACAAGGTGTAAATGTCACTAATGAACAAATTGCCTCGTGCCTGGGAGAGCCTAATCCATCACGGCTGGGGACAGGGATCTGACAGGGCCGGCTATTTCGGGTGCAGCCTGTGGGGAGGAACCGCTGCACGTCTCAGCTGTCCCCTCTCGCCCAGGGAGGCCGGTGCAGGGCTTGGCTCCACGCTGCTCCCCACCACACCAGCTCCGTGCCACCACAGGAGGGACCAGGGGGGCATTTGGGCTGGCAGAAAGCTGTGCCCAGCCACCTGGAGGGCTTGTGTCACTGGTCCGGGGTGCAGGGCTGTGGCCAGGAGTGCTTGCTGTGGTGCTTTACAACAGGAAATTTGCTCCCCAGTTTAATCCCATAGTTTGCCCCTACATGAGGTGCCCTCAAGGCGATGCTCCAAGCCAAGCCCCTCTGTCAGGGGACACAGCCGGCTGTACTATGCTGTCTCAGTGCCGTGCACAGCCCCAGGATGGATTTTGGTGTGAACAGACCCAGCCCTGTCGAAGCAGAGGGATGCCGAGCGCAGCACCAATCCCCCGCACCCCCTCCTGCTCCTCCACCCCCAGCTGGTGCCCGAAATCAGCCCGCCGTCCCGCTGACACCATATGCCAGCGCGACACCTCGCAAATCGCTGCCTCTGCGGCTGCGAGCAGAAGCCGAGAGGCTGGGGGAGCTCCTGCCCCCCTGCACGAAGCACGGCTCGCCATCTGCCGCAGCCAGCAGCCAGCCCGCGGCACCCGCCGCTGCATGCGCACAGTGGAAGCCCCCGTGTCGCTCCCCCCCTTTTTTTCCTTTTTTCTCCCCGTCCTCCCCCCGTCGGTCTGGCACAGACCCACGCACACCCCACGGGCGACCCGCTGGAGAAGCTGCTGGTGGGTGCTGTCAGCTGCTGGGCTTTGATTTTTAATGGTGCTTGGAATGGTTTGAAGCCTTGCAGAGCAGTGCGGCGGCCAAGGGGCTCCCGGGAGGGGAGACAGGGGGTCTCCAGGCCCCAGGAGGGGGGCCTGTGCTTGGATGGGGGTTAGAAGGTGTTGGCGATCCTGGCTGTGCGCATCGAGAGGAGCTGGGAGGATCCTGGAAAGCAATTCAGCATTTTTTCCAGTGATAAATTTTCCATGAGCCCTTTCCTTTCCGCCCTGCTCCTCGCCGGCTGTGCTGGCTGCTTACTCCTCGGCGTGCTGGAGGGATCCCACTGCTGCCCTCCTGGCACCAGCCCTGTGCCTGGAGCTATGCACAGGCTTTCCCCGGACCAGGACAGCCCCATTAAGCCCCCCCCATTACTGCTGGAGCCGCTCCTTCTTCAGTCTGAACCTGAGCTGGGTCTTTTCTGCTGTTTCTGAACACGAGTCCTCATCTCATTCAGGTGTGTCATTCAGTGGAAATATTTTGTAAATGCAAACAAAAAAAAAAAGAAACAAAATCTTTTCAATACCTCGCTCTCGAGGGTGGGAAACAAGGCGTTGGAGATGCCTGGGTGGGAAGGGCTCGCAGCGGCTGCCACTGGCTGCGTTTTCTTGCAGACGTAGCCCCTGGGAGCATCCATGGGTGGTTTGGAAGGGGGCTACCTGCAAGGCTTTGGGGTGACCCACACGGGCACCCCTCATGTGGCCGCTGCTGCCAGTGACAGCCTCGTGCTCGACCCTTTCTGATCCATCCGGTGGGTGTCCGTGTCCGTCAGGCAGAGCAAGGCAGGAGCGGGTAGGTGGCGAACAAATTCTCTGGTGAGCACTGGGAACAGTTTTTACTTTTCAGCTATGTCAGTACGATCTAGCTCTCTCCGTCTCTCTATATATGTACAAACAGTATATCACAATGTTGCCTTTTTTGTTGGAAATATCAAAGTACAAAGATTGTAAACCAAATCGGTGTAATAAAAGTTTCAGATGATTCACGGAGGCGGCTGTCAGCGGCGGGTCTGTGGGCACGGGTCGCGGTCAGAGCCGGAGCCCCCACGCTGCTCCGAGGGCAGGGGCTGACAGGGGGCAAAGGCAGCCATAAGGGGAGTGTTTTTCCCAAAAATGCAAATAAAACCAAGCCTCTGAAGGTCAGGCTGACTTCCCAAGGAGCGCTACAGCACTGCTGATCCTAGCACTAAAGCACTGTGAGCGGATGCCGTTCTGCAGCAAATGAAGGATGACAAACAGCACCCCATGACGAGGCTTTGGACAAAGTGGGATATTTAGGACCACAGGAGGCTGAGCAGGTGAGTGTCTTTGCTACATGTCAGGTACCGGTGACATTTCAGAGGCTGCCCCCTTTCCTGTCACAGCAGAAGACCCTGCAGCCCCGGGCAGCAGCTGTACCGTGGTGTCCACCACGCGACCTTTCCTCCCAGCTCCAGGCAATGCTGCCTGTTCGGGGGGAGCAGGATTTTTCTGCATGGACATGCAGTGGATGCTGTGACCCCTGGGGGACAGCAGGAATGGGTGGGCAGCTGGGGAAGCAGCCCCAGTGCCCTCCCCTGGGGGTTGAGGGGCTGGATTGCCGACCCCAGGTGCTCTACTGGAAGCCCTCCACTTGTGCAAGGGGAGGTTTGTCAGCCCAGATCCTATGTGGGAAGCAAAACTGGTACCTGGGGAGCTTTCTGCAGCGTCCTGGTCAGAGGGGCTCGGTTGGTGGCTGTGGCTGAGGTGCCAGGCGGGCGGCGTGCCGGTTGGCCCACAGCATCTGCCCGATGAGGAACTCGTTCTCCTGGCCCACCTCTGCCAGGCGGAGGTCGAATTCGGTCAGGGTCTTGTTGCCCGCCAGCCCTTCCAGCAGCTGCTTGCCACCGTCCTGCAGCGGGTAGAGGAAAGGAGCCCAAAAGTGAGTGAGGCTTCACCCAATCCTGAAACCTTGCTCCCAAGAGAAGGACGGGGCCGGAGCGTAACCTTCTGCAGCGCTCAGCGCTATGACACGTGCTAATGGCTCCCTCTGGGTATCGTGTCAGGAGTCCTCAAGCTCAGGCTGCTTAATGGCACGGACACAGAGGATAACCTGCCAGGAGTCTGCTCTAGCAGCTCACCTGGTGCATTTCCTTCCCTTGCCTGAAATATGGTCATTAGGGATGCAACCATTTGGCTTTTTCTTCCCACAGCTCTTCTCTTTCCCATGCCCAACGCACATCCCAAGCCCATCACCTCCATGCAGGCAGCCCCCTCTCCCCAGCACCCTGCCTGTTAGACCTCTTGCTAAAAAGGACAAAATGTGAGAAGGGAGAGGCACCTCTCTTTAAAGTGGTACAGAAGATTTGATACATCCCTAGCGAAGACCTCCGTTTTCCCATATGTAAAACAAAGACAAAAACAGCAGCCCACTTCTTGGGGTGCTACAGAGCTTCACAAACGGGTACCAGGGGAGCTCATCAGATGGAAAATGCCAGGCACAAAGATTATTGTTTACTAAGCAAAAATCCTGCTATCCTTTCCAACGCTTGTCCCCTTCTATCGTTACACTCAGATGGTTATCCATGTCCAGAACCATAAAAATGAGGGCTCACAAAAGGTTTTCTGCCATCAAATCCTTTTAAAACCGTTGTCAAACATATTGATGCCAATATTCCTGCCAGCAGGGACAGCTGGTCTTGCTGTCTCTTTATTGTGACAGCGAGAAAAATTGAGGCAGCACAGAAAGTTTAAAAGCCAGCATGATTGCATTTAGCTGTCTAGTTTCAGATTTCTAAAGCTCCTTTTTTTAATCAGCAGAAGAGAAGTGGTCGGCTTTGTGGGCATGCTGCACACTGCAGCTCTGAGGGATGCGCTAAGATTTGTGGATGCTCCTCTGCCTAGAAAACGCGCGCCTGTGGCTCAGGAGCCACAAAGAAGCATCCAGATGTGACACTTTTGACCTGCCACACCGCACCAGAGCTGCGGGGGGAATTACAGGAGCTGAACAGCAGAGCCAATTTTCTAACTATGTCCTCCTGACAGACAGGAGAGATTCTGGGAAGGGCGAAAACTGCCTGTGTGCCACTGCGTGACAGATGGCACAGCAGATCCGAAGTACAGAGGATATGAATAAGGCCCTCATCTTATGCCACCTATCATTTTTATCTACTCCCACGTGGGTAAAGTGGCTGTGATTCCCGCAGGCACACTCCCTGGATTTCAGTCTCCTGTGGGGAAAATCCCTCTCTGCCCAGAAGCCTGGGAGCGGGCGTCTGCCTGAGAGCCCCGTGAGAAGAGCTAGGCGTGAGTGAGATAAATGTGTGTGTCCCCACAGAAGATGTTCTCCTTTTAGCTGTCTGCTGTAGTCTCTTCACTGCTTGCAACTGATTGTTATCCCAGCAAGACCGAAATGTGAGGGATGCCTCTGCCCTGTGGCTATGAGGCGGACCAGGCTCAGCATCTCCTTCACAACCGAACCACACGCTCACAGGATGCCTGAGGTGGGACGGGACCTCTGGAGGCCACCTGCTGCAACCCCCTGCTCAAGCAGGGACACCGAGGGCAGGTTGGGACCGCGTCCCAGCATCAAACCTCACAACCACGTCCAGCTGCAGGGAGCGGGGCTTTCTCTTACCGGCCCGATGTGGTTGCACGACAAGTTGATGGACGTCAGGGTGGCGTTCTGAGCAAGGACCTGGGACAGCAGCACAGCACTGGGCTCCGACAGCATGTTGCTTCCCAGGTGGATGGACTTCAGGGTGGTGTTGGCCAGCAGGGCACGGCCCATCGCCTCCCCGCCCTCGTCCCCCAGGTAGTTGAGGCGCAGGTTCAGGGAGGTCAGGATGCAGTTCTGGGCCAGTGCCTGGGCCAGGGCCTGAGCCCCCGCCTGATGGATCTTGTTGTTACACAGATCCAGGGTTTCTAGCTTGCTGCGGTTGATCAGCTTGCCCACAGCTTGTGCCCCCGTGTCCCCAATGAGGTTGTGGGACAGGTTCAGCTCCACCAGGGAGGGGTGATCCAGCAAGCTGCGGACCAGCAGCTTGGTCTTGTCGTCATCCACGTTGCTGCGCGTCAGCTTGAAAACCTGTGGGGTAAAGGACAGGGATGCTGAAACAGGCGCTTTGGATGGAGCTTTGCACGAGTCCTCAAGCCTGTGGCTCACCAGAGATGAGATTCATCTCCCTTTGCTTTAGATGCATTTAGCTAGTGGGGCAAAGTAGCTATTTTTTATTGTGGAGAGGGCAGGGCATGACACTGAGGTCCTCTGCCTGCCCCAGGGTTCACCTCCTGGAAACTCCCATTCCTCTCCTCTGACTCTGTGGGATCTCTAACATATAGGGCAAGTTCGCCTCTCTTTGCTCAGGCAGACAGGAACCTGCAACGGGAAGGGTGCTGCCAGCAGGGAAAACTGAGCCTAGGTTTCTCCCCCTCCTCCCCCTCCAAAGGCAATCTGAAGATCGAGCTGAGGAAGAAAGATTGATTTTGGGATGCATTACCTTCAATTTGTGGCACTTCTTCACGGTACCAGCCAGGTTGCAGCAGTCCTGGTAGGTGAACTTGAAGAGGTTCCACTCAAAGTTCATGCCGCAGTCCTTCACGCCGTAAGTAAGATGAAGCTCTTCAAGGTAAGGGAGAGCAGTAACGAGGGCTCCCAGGTCATAGTGATGTACGGGGACCTCGCCAAGCCCCAAATCACTCCCTGAATCAGAGATGTCGTCCGCCTCCTCCTCTGGATCCACCTTCAGCGGCGGCAGGAACTGGTCAACCTCCAGTTTCCGCACGTAGTCTTTGCAGAGCGGGATGAGCTCCAGAACCTGATTGGGGTCCGTGGTGTTGGGGACGAAACTTTTCAGGATGTTTTCCAGGTGACGTTCGAAGAACATCCTTTTCCAGCTGTCCCCATAGCTGGAGATGTCACACACCTGCCAGCGCTCGGTGCAGCACCGCTTCCAGTAGTCCTCGTCACTCACTAGGTTGGCAGTGACCGCAAGCGGAAGGGCAGTGGGGAGCCTGTCCAGCACCTTCCTTTGGTGCTCAGGCAGGAGACGGTCTAAAATAGGGTTCTCTGGAGGGAAAGGAGAGGAGGAGAGGTTGGTCTGGGCTGTAGGAAGTGGGGCTGGCCCTCTGGTTCTGCCCGGCCCCCCAGCGGCTGATACCGGCTCCCCTCTCACTTGCCATCAGCTGGTGCAGGGAGCTAAGCTGGCAGAAAATGACTCATTTTTGTGTAGGATTTCTTACTTTTATAACAAAGCACCAACGTAATTGGGTTTACCCTCATAATATTTGGGATCTGCACCAGAACCTTGGCTCCCGGTTTAAATTTGGGTTTAATGCGGTTGATATTCAGAGCAGGACTGCTGCTGCCAACAGAGCTGCGCCAGGCTTACAGTGACGGAAGAGCTCGGCTTGCCAGTTGCTGAACTTACTCCCTTTGGTTCCTAAACATATTAAAAGACAATATTTGAGAACTGAGTTACCTGCATGCTTTGCATGCAAGTCCTCATGCCTTTTTATCTGAGGTCAGGTGTCTGTCTTACCCGTGTGCCTATCTGCACATAGGGAATCAGATTTTGAGGCACAAAGTGGGGTTAATCTTATATTTTCTCTGTCTCTGTAGCATTCCCTCCCTAAGGACACCCAGAGTCCTGCCACAGGCTCCTCCTGGGGTCTCTTCTCCATGTCCCACAGCTGGCACTGCAGGACTCTGCAGAGTCCCACAGCACAACCAGAGGTGGGACAGAAGCAGGATAGCTTCCCTCTGGGTCACATTTGGCATCAGATTGATCAGGCTGGTAGGACCATGAGGTCTCTGAGCTCAGCTCCCAGGCACCACACTGTTTTACAGCCCCCATGTGGGCACATCCTTGGGCCCTGCTGAGTGACGGCTAGGCCCTTTCTCTCCCGTTCCCAGATGAGATGTGCTTTTTATATTTTACTCTGCTTCACCCGTCCACCTGCTTCAAAAGCACATTCCCTGCCCGAGGGTGTAGCTTGTCACATCGCCACCAAGAGCTGTGGAGGAAGCCTGAAGCCGTGAGCACCACCACGTGTGTTTGGAGGCTCCTGGCAGCAGGGCCCCTTTCTGCGTCCCTCGTACAGCACTCCATCCCCGTGCTGGGAACCAGGCCCGTGTGTGACCCACGAGAAGGGACCAGAGTGTGAAAATACATACTTAACAACTAAATATTTTGTCTGACTATCTGCCTTGGGGGATATTTCCACTGCTCCTTTGGGCTGGGTGCCACACTGTGCATTTCGGCTGCCTCTGTGCCTTGCTGGCCCTCTGCTCCCACACACCCCGGGGAGAAGATCTCCGTCCCGCTTACGGGTGAAATTGTGGACAATGTGCTGGAGGCAGAGCTCAGTGAGCTGGGGGACGGCGGCGAGGGACCACTCGGGGTCCTCGATGATGCGGTGTATGCAGTAGGAGTCGGCGGTGAGCCTGCTCTGGGAGCGCCGCAGCGAGGGAACGGGCCTGCTCCTGCCAGCAGCCTGCTGCATCCTGCTCACCGCCCACGGCTCCGTCACGGGAGGCACGAGGGAAATTGCTCGGGGTCAGGAGAACCACGTTTTCCAGCTGGGCTGCCTGGAAAAGAAAAAGGCAACCTTGGAAAGAGACCGGCTGTAAGGGTGTCCAGCTCACACAGCTCTTCTGTCATGTGGTTTCCCCCACCCTTCTTCTGCTTCCTCTGCTCGCACCAGAGGCACTGCAGCAAAGCAACCATTATTTACCCTTATCTTCATCCACTGCCTTGCACAAAGAGGTCTCCAAACACTACGTGTAATAAAAGATAACAGGGTGGTGTTCATTCAGTGTGCCGTTGAATAGGATGGACAGGAATTGAGAGCTCCCTGTCTTTTCCAATAAAATAAACAGGCGAAGCTGGCAGGAGCTGGGCTTAAAACAAAGGGGAAAGGTGGTTCTTCATGCCGCCTATGGTTAAGCTGGGGAACTCCTTGCTGCGGGTGCTGACAGCCGGTGGAGGGTCCGGGACGAGTTCAGGGAAGAGAAACCCTTCGGAAATGATTCAGTGCCCAGAAACCACACCTGTCAGAGTCTGAAAATGGTTGAAGGTGGGAGAGTGCAGGTGGAAACAAACACATGCACTTGCATCTATTTCCCACTCCTCTGGGGGAACCTGCTGCTGTCAGAGAGGGATACTGGGCCAGATCACCCCTGGTTTGATCCACTGGGCCTGCCTGCCCTCATGGCTCTTCACAGACAGATGCTTACTATAAGTGCATTCATTTTTTTCTGCTTTGCTCAATTATTCTCCAGCTGAACTCTTTCCAAACATCCATTAACTGATGAGGCGGGTCAGACCTGTGCAGACCCACACGGAGCAGATATGAGCTAAGAGAACCAGCCTGGAGCAGAAGGCAGGATGCCCATCCCTATTAGCTCTGCAGAGCTTTCCCAGACCAAATGTTCCCATTTGCTGCTTCCCACCCCAACCTCAGTTCCAGTGCCTCAGTCAGCATAAGTCCCTCATTCTCTGAAAGCCCTGTAAGGCTTTGTGAGCTTGCCTGCTTCTGCTCCTTCCCCCTCCAAAAGAGACATGAGGAAGGACCTGCAAAAGGAACCTTCAAAGGGGGAAGAGAGGAGATCTGTGAAATGCCAAGAGCTAAAGGTCAGAAACAAAATGATCCACATTGTACTGCAGCAAAAGTGTCAGCAAATGCTTCTTCCAATGTGCTTGTAGCAGGTCCTGGATGAGAAGAACCATTTTGGGATGAGAGTCAGGAGACGGGGTGAGGGAGAGAGCAGCAGCAGGGAATCCTCCAATGCAAAGCAGGAGGACGCAGGTGCCAAGGGGAGCTGCATTTCCTGGCAGGCACTGCTGCAAAGACGGCAAAAGCAAAGGCTGTAGAAGAAAAAGAGGCCTGGTCTGAAGAAGGGTGGGTGTGGGAGGAGAAGGAACGGGCCACGTGCAAATGAGAGAGCTGGGAGTCCTTCCTCTGACCTCCTCGGCCCAGCTGAAAACCCAGCTCGTGGTGCTTGTTGGGTTTCAGCAGGCAGGCACAGCACAGCCAACGCTGGCAGAGGAGAGGTGACCGGGAAAAAGGCTTTCTCCTTGCTCAGCCCTTCATCCCATTCAAAAAGCATCTGTGTCACTCTGCCCCCCAGGCCACTCACAGCTAACTGGGGCTTCTGATGGCTTTTCTGACCGTGGCTGTGTCCCCTCGCCTGGGCTGCAGGAGGCTCATCGAGCCCGTCCTCATAGCTGGGGTGCTGAGCATGTATTTAAACAGCAAACCAACATTTCGCTGGCTCCTCCTGTGATCTGGAGATGGGACATCTGCTCAAACCTAAATTTCTCTGCTCGTTAGATTCACCCCAAAGCCCAGAGCCTGACCAGGAGTCGTGTGGGAAGCGGTGACCTCCGGCTGGTGCCTCGTACCAGCTCTCACAGCGTTGCTGCAGCAAACGCCGGCTGTCCTGCAGAGGAGGCATCAGCCGGGGGTCCTGGTGCTGGTGCCGGCTGCTGGTGCCACCAGAGCTGCTCCCTGCCCTGAGGCTGATGCTAAGGACCCATTAGGGCAGCGTATCGCACACCGCCTCTCTGCAGTGGGCCTTAAGTAAAGGAAAAAAAAAAAAAAAAAGGATGCCAGACGAGGAATCTATTTAGCTTCACACATAATGAAATTTGTCTGTAAGGGGATAGCAGGCAGAATTAGGCCAGCTGGCCACTTGGGAACATGGCTCATGATGTCGCCACCGCCCTCCAGCTGGTGCTGAGGGCCAACACCGCGGTCCTGCACGGCCAGACCCCTGCCCGCTGAGGGGCTTCAGCGGCAGAAAAAGCCCTTTAGGGCCTGAGTATCGCTCCCACACCCCCTGTGGCTATCTACGACAGCCCCTGAGCCCCTCACCTGCCAGCGAGGCGGCCGCTGTTGCCCGGTCACCGATGTGTATCCGGGGCACATGGCTCCGGGGCGGGACTCGGGCACCCGGGTAACCCAAACACATCACCCTCCGGCATCTCTTGGTGTCACCCGTGGGGATCCCAGCCACAATCACACGTGGAGCCCCCCCGGGGAGGCTCCTGCAGCACTGGGGGGCTCACGGTGCTGCTGGCACGGCCAGGTGCCACAGCCACACCGCACAAAGGGATGTAAACGTGCGTCTCATTTTCCCCCTTCCTCAGACCCAGGCGTTTTGGTATTCGCCAGTAGCTTTCCAGGCTGAAAGGCGACTTCTGCTCTTTCAAAATGCTGACGTGCTCGGCAGCGGGGACATCGCAGCGTGTGCCCTGTGGGAGCACGCATGGCGCTGTTGCCAGCCCTCCTGATATCCCTGCGAGTCCCCAGATAGCTGGCATTTTTGGGGAGCCGCACCGCCTCTCGGTTAAAATGTACCTCCTGGTTGTGAAGATGCGGTTACAAATGTGTTCTGGGAAGGATTAAAAAATGAAGATTTTGAGGCCTACTTCGTGACTTTCGGTGATGTGCAGCTCGACTCCAGCAGCAGTGTAGGAGTGGCCTGATGCTGCATCTCCAGCTCCGGAGAAGAGTGTGAGGCAGCCTGGGATTCAGGCTGGTGTTTAATCAGAGGGGATGCCAGAGCCCTTCCCAAAAGCTGGCCCCACACTAGCCGTTTTATTTCTGGAAGCACTTTAAGATCTTGCTTTTCAAAAAAAAAAAAAATATCATGGAGATGACGTGGCCCAAGTATTGCAGTCAGTTGTGGAGCTGGGTGCAAGCAGGTGTTGAATCTGATGAAAACAAGCAGTGGTACCTTCAAAATGGCCAGGTTAACACGTTTATTTCCAAGCACACAGACATCAGCATGTGCTTCCAGCAGCGTTTGCAGCGGTAGGCACTTCAGATGCCAGCTCAAATGCAGCTGGCTAAGTGTGGAGGGCAAAACACCCCTCCCATTCCCATTCCCATTCCCCTTCACATCTGGGCTCACAGCCATTCCCAAGTGCCTATGGCTCAGCAAGATGAGGACCCCAAGGAGCAGGAAGAACCTCCCGAGCTCCTTCTCCAGGCCCCCCTCCTGTTGCCTTCTGCTAGAGAGCACTGCTAGAAAGCAGCCAGCACCTGCCAGCAGTGGCAAAAGGCTCAGGAGGAGGAAACAGCCCCTGCAAAGCCAGCGCTGAAGGGACGGGGAGCATCCCACACGCTGCCTCTCCTCCCAAAGCCTTCCGCTCTCCCCAGGTCCCAGCAGGAGCCGTGCAGCTGCTGGCAGCTATTAATAGAGGTGTTGTTGATCGTGGGTTGTGTCTCCTACCGCTCCCTGGGATGAGCACTAATTACCCTTCGTTAGCTTGGGTTTGGTTCCAGCTCCCGCCTTCCAGCCCCCTGCCCGGGCAGTGCAGGGGCCAGCGCGGTGGGGAGTGGTACCTGGCTCTCGGGGCACCCCATGGCCTCGTCCCTGGGTGCCGAGGGCAGCAAGGAGTTTTTCTCGGCCTGGCCTTTCAGACGTGACCCAGGAGCTAAGCAGGTGGTGAGGCGAACATCAGCACCGAAGCCTGAGGATGCTGGCGGGTGGGATGCTCCCTGCTTAAAATTAATGAAAGAAACAAGGTGGGGAATAAATTATATGCAGCAGATCTGGTCTGCTCTTGTAGCTGGTGCCCCCACAACCACCCGTCACACCCAGGTCTGTCAGAAACAGCATCCTTCCTCTGTGGCTGGCTTAAGGCCACCCCAGCATGCGGCTTGATTTGGGATCCGTGCTCAGGGCCCCAGCGGCTGCTGCTCACAGCCCCCTCTCTCATTTCCTCTCACCGAGATCTCTCCAGCGCCAGGCCAGAAGATTCAGGCCCCTCTGCCGACTCCCACTCAGCCCCTGGCATCGCATCCCAGTGCCAGATGGCAAAGCAGCTCTGGCAGGAGCCGTGCCAGGCTCCCCTCCCTCCCTTGCCACCCTTGGAGCTACAGAAAAAGGCTGAGGGACCAGCAGAGCTCTTCCAGTGGGAGCAGACTTCGGGCTGCCCTGCTTTCCCCCGCCATGGTGGGCATCCCCATGGCTCCCAGCTGCCATCAGCCCCCCTCTGGTGATGGGTGCCAGAGCCCCAGCCCCTTGTCACCTCCTTTTGTCCACTTCTGCCTGCCTGACACCGCAGGGGCTTCCCTCAGCATCTCGGGGTCGCTCATCCCCATAGGGCCAGCTTGGGCTGGCTCCTGGTGGGCGACCTGGGGGCTTCAACCAAAGCAGGGGGGAAAATTAGAAGCCCAAAAGAGCAACGCAGCCAGGCTGAGGCAGGAAACGTCAGCGGTGCTTCTGTCAACGCCGCAGCCGAGGCAGGCAGGCGGCTCCTTAATTATTGATAGTGCTTATAAATAAATGCTGGGACGGGGAAGGGAAGGTTATGGCAGAGCCCGCGAGCTGCTCCCAGGTGGGGGAGGGAACCCGAGAGCTGGGTTGTTTTAAAGGTCAGGCCGTTTTGCATCTCCTTCCCCCTTTTCTGTGTAACACTCAGTGATATTGGAGTCGAGGGCTTGTCTTCCTTGGGTGTCTCCCCCGTGCACCTGCCGAAATCGGCTGGCAGACAGCGAGGGAAGGGAGCGGGGAGGGAACGCTGCCTGCAATGTGGGGCGAACGAGGAGACAACAAAATTAGTAGAGCAGCAAATCCCAACCCGAGTGTAAATAATTCACCATGTGAAAAGAAGGTCTACGGAGCCTACGATTTTATCCTCCTCTTCCTGGAGCTCCAGCCTGCGCCACCTCTGATGCGAAGGAAGAGGGGAGGGTGTGAAACAAGGCTGGGCAAGGAGCAGGGGTTGCCAGGACCTCGGTCAGGGATGAGGGCAGAAACCCTGTGCCCGTGCAAGCCTCTCCTTGCTGCTCCCAGTGACAGGCACAGAAACACCGGCTGCAATTCCAAGTGTTAGAGCTGGCTGCAGAGCACGGCGCAGGAGGGACGTGGTGGAGGCAGTTCATAGGAGGTGACCCCATCTCCGATCCAGCGTGACACGGGTCCTCGGCTTCTGCTGGCCTCTCTCTGCAGCCCAGGCGACCCAGAGCAAAGCTCCTGCAGCAAAGCAGGCCAGGAGAGACAAGCAAGGGCTTCCAGCTCCCCTGCTGCCAACGCCAGATAGCTGCCTGGGGTTGGGGCTGGCAAGCCCTGGCATTGCAGGGGCCTTGGGGGGCCATCTGGACTTAGAGCGCCGTTGCCAACTCGATAGCACCTGCTCATGGCTAAAACCACCTTGCTTCTTAATTAGTTTCCCGCTTCCCACTGGCCCGTGTGTGCCTGCAGCCTTTGCTGGTCGGAGCTGCAACGTGTGCCCAAGGAACTGCTTGCACCTCTGATCCCTCATGGATGAATGCAGGCAGCTATCTGGCTGGAGAGCTCCATTTAAAACCCACGTTACGTGCCCTCGAGCCCTGGCAGCTGAGCATTGCTCTAAACTGCTTTTTGGTTGGATGAAACCTTCTGCACACACTGGATGCCAACCTGGCCCTCAGACAGCTCGCCATGAAGCTGCTCTCCCTGCTGGATAGGACAGCTAGAAGAACTGGGTAAACTTATTTTGTCTGCAGTGGTGTCCTGAGCTGTTGCAGCCTTGCTCCTGAGAAACCCAAGCAGCAGCTGATACAGCAGTGGATGCCAAACTGACAGGGAGACAGACCGGCCTGATTCCACGTTGCATTTGGCTGCTGCAAAGGATCCCTGCACTGTAAGGGGCTGGGAAAGAGTTTACAGGGGTTCAGCAGCTTTTAAGCTAAAAAGCAGGCCAAAGGGGGTTAATTTTGTAAGGCTGCTACTGCTGGCAAGCTCAGGCTCTGCTTTTGGAGCATGATGCAGGAGCAGCTCAGGCTCTTCTCTCCTCCTCTTCACACCTACTCTCCAATACCGACAGCAGACATCATCTCCAGCAGCAGCTATTAATATAGCAACACGAATGCACTCAGAAGGACCTGGGAAAAGCATTTTCCCAGTCAGACAGAGCATCCTTCCCCTCCCCACAGCCCGTACTGCTGTGGCTGGAGCAAAACACAGCAGCTGTTCAGCACCAGGCACTAACAGCATGAACTGTCCCCATCATCCCTGCCCCATGCACCCCCTCCAGCACCCCTCTGGCCACATCACAAGCTCCTGAAGCACCAGGCCAGCTGTTCCAGCCCTCCCTGCCACGCTCAGGTGTCCTGCAGAGATGCTACAAGCACCAGCAGCACCTCTGCCTCCAAGAGATCACCAACACCACAGCTCCCACCTCTTCCCATTGTGCTGAAGATAGCCTCCAGTGCTGGAAGGCAGAGCATAACACTAGTAAGGAAAGAGCCTGTGAGAGGTTGGCTGAAGGAAGGGAAGAGGTTTGAGACAGCTCTGAGCTGCAACACAGCATAAAGTACGGGGCAGGGTGACGTAAATTCCCTGTGCACTCTGCTGACAGCTGAAATCTCTTGGCAGCAAAGGCAGATGCTCAAGGACATAGGCTTGCAACCCCTTTGCAACAAGTTCTGCCTTAGTTCCAAGACTGGAAGTATCATTTGCTGAATGAAAGGTGCAGATAAAAAAAACAAAACAACACAGATCACATTCTCGGCCATTTAATAGTGTTGGGATAACACTGTGCCATCCCCCCATGCTCTCAGAGCTTCCCAGTGCCAGTCTTGTAGCAAGAACTGCGCTGTTCCAGAAGAAGTTGGCACTTTCTGAGGATCAATCCCCAAACACCCATGCTGAGAACAGGCAGCATTATTCTGTCGGTGGTATCAGGAGCAGACTCTGCTCATCCCTGATAGCCAGAAGCTGAGTGCTCCAGCGCAGCATTTACAGCAACATTCAGTGTGGGAGCTGCTAATCCTCTCAGATCAAAGTCTAACGCGTGCTCTGGATCAAGTATCCACACACCTTGCATTGGGGGGCATGCAGCTGTCCTGCCACCAAAGCTCCACAGTTATTTCAGAGTTTACTCCGAGCGAACTCCAGCGCAGTAGTCAGGGCTCCCTGAATGCCTTTGGCATTTCCACTGCCCTTAGCGACGACAGGAGAGCCTCCTGCCTTGCCCTCCATCTGCGTACAGACAGCCATGGCCCAGTCAGCAGCAGAGAACACTGGGATGCAGTCCTGGGGAAGAGACACAGAGCAGAGTGGCTTGGGATGCGGAGCACTCCACAGTTTAGTGAAGGAAGGTGGACATGACCTGGAGGATAGAGTGTTATCTGTGCCCAGCAAAGGCTGAAAGCTCATCTGGTCCCAGTATGGTCATCTCAGGTCCTACCCCAGCAAGATTAACCAGCAACATTGGGTAGAATCCCACAAAAAAAACTCATCTGGGACTTACTGAGCAGTCAGCCCCAGTCTCTTTTTGCAGGCAGGTTCCCTGTGACTCTGCCAGGGTTCTGCTTACCTTGGACACCTGGCAGGCACAGAGCACCTCTCCAGAAGCCTGAGGGCTGAGCAGCAGGACTGATGTGCCTGGAGACTTGTCACACAGCTGGTTCACTACCTTCATCAGGATCTAGGAGAAGCAGGGAGAGGAGGGGTCAGGCTGGAGAGTGGGGTGCAGCAGAAAACATGGCCTACAGCTCTCCTTGACTGCTGGACCAACACACAACATGGTTTACTCACAGACAGGGAGTCAGCTGGGACAGTGTCTATGATGACAGGTTGGTTGCAGTGCTTTGTTAGCAGGCTTTGTACCTTCTCTTCAGCCTGGAGGAGGAAACACACAGCACTTGAGGGGCTACAGGTGGCACAGGTGAGCAGGATGGGTATATGTGCATGTAACACGTACATGGGGAGTGAAAGTACTGCTCTGTGGGGTAGAGGAGATGTATATGCTAGCTGAGATCAAAGTAAGGCTGTCAGACTAAAATCTCCACATGTACAACCCCAAAGAGATGAACCCCTTTCAAAAGCGGGACAGAGACCCACGCTGTTCTCAGCCTCTTTCCTCTGCCTACTCATTGCCACATCTCAGGCAGGATCTTGTAGCACGATGCTGCTACTTTAAGGACAGGATAGATCTTACTGAGAATATTAAGTCACCAATAAGCATTTCCTAAGGGCTTTTAACGTAATCATGTAAATTAGCAAGACAAATGCAGCGGGGAAGCAGAGCAACATCCATGTGGCTGAGAGAAAAGCTCTGTCTGGCCACTCTCCTACTGCAGGACCTTTTAAAGCTCATTTTCAGGGCCACCTTATCTTCTCCATGTATTAAGGAGGCGGCAATGCCTACGTGCCTGTTGCTGTTTGATAAAAGCATTGATAGGGGGTTCTCTATCCTCAGAGAGAGGGAGCTGTGGGCATTTGGGTGTGCCAAAACCAGTCAGTCCTTCAGCCCTGGTTAATGCCAGTGAAATCAACCCAACAGAGGGCTTGTGCTGTACTGCATGTGACTGTACCTGCTTTCCCTTGCCTTCTGATGGGACCCCAGTCACTGAGGTGCTGTGAACTGTGCCAGAGACACCAGGTTCACTGCTACCAGCAGGCTGCAGGGAGCGTGCTGCTGCCACAGTACCTGCTGCATCTCCAGTTTCTTGATGGCTGTGTTGGCAGTTCGCTGCAGCGCTTTGAGGATGGTCTGTAGTTCTTTTCTTTGCCACTGGGGCATTGCAGTGCTAGCCACCACCTGCAAGACAATTTGCTGTGTAAAGACACTGAATAGTACCTAGGAATCAACTACTCATTCTCTGGGAGGTCAGAAGCTTTTTCATCTGGGCATCTGAAGCCTGGGGAGAAGCCTGGAAACCCTTTTTCACTGCTTTACCCTCCCCACCACTTCCTCCTCTCATATTCCCTCTGGCAACAAAGGCACCTAGACTCTGGTTGAAATCTTTGTGACCAATGAGGCACCAGCAAGTAGCGATTTCTCCTTGCTACTGACCACAGGGTAAAATGTGAGCCTACTGGGGACCTCAGGAGAGCCTATGCCAGGATCCTTCTGTACAGGAACGTAATCCTTACTTTGGTCAGCTGGCCCACTTCTTTGGAGAGGTTCTGCATCTCAGCAACAGAGCTGCTCCTCTGCTTCATCCGTATGGAGACGGAGTCCACTTCCACAGCCAAGCACTGGCCTACCTCTCGGGCCTGCAGAGAGGGAGAGAAAACACTTCAGGTGCGCCAACAGAAAGAAGGAGCAGGGACGGAGGACGTGGGGAGGTGGCAGGGTCATAACCACTGAAGTGCTGCTCAGCAACCAGAGGGAAGACACCTACAGATAGGCTTTAAAAATGACTGTCCCCATGAGACTCTGCAATGCACAGCTCCTCTCTACATTTGCAACCAGTGCTAGAGGTTCACACCCACAGGACCAAGCTGTCACCTCATTATATATCCTCAGTATGTCACACCAAACCATCATAATTTCAATGCAAAAAACTCGGGCACCCATTTACTTTTTATTGCATTAGCAAGCGCACTCTTGAAACTAACTGAAGTTAAACACAAAGACTGAAGAAACACTAAACCAAGATTAAAGAAACCTCATCAGCTGACGTTTCCCTGAGGATGAGTTCAGCTGGTCTTGGTGCATTTCTTATTGCTTTTGCCAACACCAACACTACTATTAATAAAAAAAGCTAATACAAGCTTTCTTCCACCAGTGAAAATCTTTAGTGTTTGGACCATTTCTGCCCTGCCAGATCTTTATGCTCGTGATGGTCCTGGGAGATTATACACCAGAATAGCAGAGACTATACAGGAAAACCTGAGGGCAGAAAGAACTGTTCTGCCTAGCTAAATACCCATTCCTTGTTCCACGTTACTCCCCCCTGCCTGCAGTCTCCTTTGTCTGAATAACACATCCACAGCTCCTCTCGGGGGCTCCTCAGGTCAACGCTTCCAGCAAAGCATGCAGATGTGCTCCGCAGCTTTTCATTCCTCTGCATCAAGACAAACTGGTGGGAACACAGCTGTGCATGGGACACAGCCAGCCAAAAAGCAACAGATTTGAGGGGGGAGCTTTGCTTCCAGTTTTCCCAGTTGTGATGGCAGCGGGTCACTCTCCTCTGTCTGCAGCCTTTAAGGAAGCAGTCAGGGTGCATGGCCCCTGGCGCTTCCAGATACTCAAGAACAGAGATCTCACAGACACACTAATAGGTTGATTGCTTCTTATAAAGACCTTATCAGACCAGAACTACACTTTGGCAAGAAAGAGACTAAAGAAAGAAGCCAAAAGGCTGTAAGAACGAGGACAGAGCCCTGTAATCATAAAGTACAAATCCAACTGTGATAGGTAGGAGGTAGAAGCAAAGCACAAAGGATCACACCTTTAAATACCTACCTGGAGACTGAAATTTCTATTCCAGAGGCTTCCTGATATTTTGTGCCAAGTTCCTATCTGGAAAAGGGGATTCTGAAGGGAAGAATGAAGGTCATGGAGACAGGAGTGTGGAACAAAGGGGAATGGATGCGAAGAGTGAGGTACAGCAGCAGAGCTGGCCCCAGGGTAAAGAAGGAAACAAGATCAGGTGTAGCAGGGAGGCTCCAGCAGAGGGAATCTGCTTGTCTAAGCAGGAACCTGTAAAATTGGGTCCATCTGAAATCTCAGTACCCCTTTCTTACCTGCTTGGCCTGTCTCCCTGTGACTGCAATGACACGGCTAACCCCTTTCACGAGCTGGCGCTCGCTGACGATAGCCAGGTCCTCCATAGCTCCTGTTTGGAGAAGGTGCCTGCAAAGTTGATGGAGAACAGGAAAGAAACAAGTTGCTCTCTGGGACCAGAAATCAGGGAGCCTACTTCCATTTCAGACATATCTTGAGTAGAGCAGCCCCTCCCCAGTCCCAACAGCTTCAGTCCTTTCCATCCCTAAAATCCTGGTGGCACCTGGTCAGGCAAGAGACAGCAGAGCTGAGGCTACTCCAGAAGAACCTCCGTGCTACCAGCTCAGCAGGCTGCTGCCAAACGTACCTAAGAGCCAAGTTCTGCCTTGCTTTCCTTTCTTTCAGCAGTAGGACGGATTGGAATTTTTCCCTTGCTACTCAGCCACTGCTGAAGCTTGCAGAAAACAATTTTTTCCTTCAACTCCCCCACTCCATTGTCAGACCAGCTCACAGAAAGGCCAGTCATCTCCAGACACATTGCAGCCATGCAGACAGAGGGCACCGATGACTTTCCCCTTTCATATCCAATGTTGAATAGCCAAGAAGGAAAACAACCACAGCGTCTCAGGTTCTCTGTTACCACAAGTAATCATTTCAGACAGCTTCGCTAGAATTGATCATCTCCACTCCCCTGCAGTTTCTTGTCCCACTCCTCCCACATGAATGTTCTCATGACTAGAAACTTGCTCATTTCCAGCTGTATCGGCTCAAAGGCCAATTTGTTCCTTTTTGTTTTCACGTTATCACTGTCCTAAGATTATTAACTCTTCTTCTACTCTCATTAGCGCTAAAAGGGCTAAAATAATTAAAATAATCAGACTGGCCCCTAGTTCTGACAACCATCACAGAGTCTCCTGTTGGGTTTCTTGCCCTCCTGCAACCCCAAAACCAAAGCTCCCTATCTCAGTTTAGAGTGAGAGGACACGTACCCTGCTCACACTGCTGGAGCCCTGCAGCTTCCAGGTGGGCTTCAGAGTGTGAAACAAGGTAAAATGCTTTGCATTTCGTTAACATTTTGGTATTTCTAACCAAATTTCTCTACAACCAGCCTACTCTGCCCCCATTTCAGATGAGGAAACCCAGTCACGAAGGATCAGAGAGTGGGACTTGGAATTATGCCTTTACCTCAGCCACCAGTGCTCACACACAAACCTTGCAGAGCATACAGAGATCCTCACACAGGCTGATCCCGGGGTCAGGGTGGGAAACAGCTCAAGAGAATCAGAAGGACACAGTCTGCACACAAACACACCATCTGACTGTAGGTAAAAGACACTTACGTCCCACAGCAGAGCTCCACAGAGGTCTGCCTTGCAGCCTCAGAGTCACAGGTCAGCACAGTCTCCACAGGAACCCCGAGGGACACTATCCTCACCGGGTCTGGATACTCCTGACAGAGGAGACAGGGATCAGCAGCTAACCATGCAGTCCTTCAGGGGCACTTACAGGCAGCTTCAGGTCCCTGCCTTACCTTACCCCTCTTCTAAAGCACCCCCAGAGTTAGGGGCAGCTCTGCTGCTCCCCCACAAACAGCCACCATGGGGGAAACAATGGGCTGACACCATACGCTGTTGGTCCAGATAAATGAGCAGAAAGCCTATGCACCACCAGTCGCCACATATCACAAAACAGTGCTGCTGAGATCTTATCTCTGTCCCATTTTCCCTCCTGAGTTTTGAGAGTCATTTCCCCTACAGAAACCTGTTGCTTCAACTTCTCTTATGGCCCAGATGATTCCTGCTGAAGGAGCAGGCTCAGAGAAACACACCCTATGTTCCTGTCATACCTCATCCATAGCACGAAGTCCCTGAACTCTTCTTGCCAGCGCAAGGGGAACCTCAGCCATATGCACAGCCTCATTTCGCTTGATCACATCCTGGACCACCTGCTCAACTCGCTGCAGCTGCTCCACAGTCACAGGACCCTGAGGAAGCAAATCAGCCTTCAGGAGAAGCCTCCCAAAAGGCACAGAACAAAGGAGGGAGAACTCTGGGCTCACAGACAACTCAGCTTGGACACACCACTTTCCCCATGACTCACCTTCCCTGCTTGTAAAAGGGAATAGCGAGCATCACGACCCTCCCACCTCTCTATAGAAGTGACTACAGCGAGAGGAGAAAAATCCCCAAAGAGAGGCCAGTACCAGGGTGCTGGTACTGCTGAGAAGCACGAAGACACGAGTCCAGAGTCACCTGGATATCGAAGTCGAAGCGCAGCCGCTCTGCCGTCACGTGGGACCCTCGCTGCTCTGTCCTGTCACCCAGGACGTGGCGGAGTGCAAAGTTGAGCAGGTGGGTAGCGGTGTGATTGGTCATGCAGCCCAGCCGCCGGGCCTGAAAGCACAGACAAATTCCCCTGGTGGGCTGCTTCTGCACAGCCTGGGGGAGCAGAGAATGGCGTAAGGAGGGAAGTGAAAGGCTGCATGCAAGGGGATAGGGGGTGATGGTGACAGAACAACAGGTAGCACAGCTGCTGGATGAATTTATGTCCCAGGGCAGATCTCACTTCTTTTCCCCATGGGATTGCCTCTGTAAAACAGCAAGGGTAGGCTGAACGCTTCTGGACAGACCTATAGCTCATAGAAGACTACAGACAAACTCACTTGTGAGTCCTCCTTCCCACTGCAATAAAGAAGTCTCAGGAACTCAAGGAACCGCTGCTGTGCCCAGGTTACTCACGGCATTAAAAGACTTTCAAAGAAAGGCTGGAAAAGGGTTAAGAGCACTGAGTTATTACCTCATCCACGAAAAGCTGAACTTGATCTCCAGCACGCAGGGTTTCCACAGCAGTGACCTCATGCACCACGTAACCACCACAGAGATGAACTGACTCCACAGGGAAGAGGATGTCCTGAACAGAGAGACACAGAAAGATGAGTTAGGGCACAGGGAACTTACAAAGACCCGTGCTACACATCTGCTTGATCCTACTGGGAAACACAACCCCTGTTGGTCCCAAAGAGACAGCAATGGGGCGTGAAAAGCAGGGACAAGCTTCCAGACAGCATAACCAGCATGCCTCAGTCCTTCCTTGCAGCCAGCCACTCACTGCATAACAGGTCGAGGCTGCCAGTTTGCAGTGGAGGGGCAGCAATGCCAACTGTGCTAATGAATTTTCCTAGCGGGGATGTCTGTCCAAGAGAAATTGGACAGCAGCTGCCAAGGCACCTGCATCAGGCATCTACGGTGCCTCTTCTGCTTCACAAGGTTGGCAAGAAAAACTTGATGCCCCTTTCATGTTGGGGAGACACGCTAAGCAAGGCATTATCACATTCTGCAAGGCTAAAAAGGCAGCATCGTCGCCCAAAGGTGACTGTCAGGAGCTGGAATGTGGGAGGGAGAAAAAGCTGCACCCCTTCTTCCTAGAAGAGAGTCAAAGCTTTCTCTCTGTCAGTGTAGAAAGAACTCGCTGCATAGGCAGATGCCACCCTACTTGTGAAGAACACAGCACACTGAAGAGTTCCCCATCATCCCCAGCAAGAATAAACTGCAAAAGGCCAAGAGAGACAACCAGAGCAGCAGGTCCACCTCCACGAGGTTAGTGCTGCTTCTTCCTCACCCCACCAACCCCAACACAAAGTCAAGGACACTGTCAAGAGCTAGCAGCCTGCTAATTAATACAGCAAAGTAGCTCATTATTTGGGGAGGTCTGCCTGGCCTCGATATCCAGGACTGCCTTGGGTTCAGGCAGCAAAAGGTCTCTCACCTGCTGTCCTAAGCGTATCAGGTAGCCTTGGTCAGAGGCTTGCCCACCCTGCTCTGCATAAAAGTTAGTCCTGTCCAAGATGACACCACAGCGCTGCCCTGCCCCAACCTCCTTCTGGAGAGACTGATCTCTGTACAGCATCAGGACGGTGGCCTGGCACGGGCTGAACTCTGCCAAGGGGAAGAAGATGGCAGCAATCAGTGCGAGCACCCTGGCAGATCACACCATGAAAGGGGGCACCACATGCCAACCCTGCCAACACCCATCCTATAATGAAAGCTGGCACTTGTCTTTGTAGGATAGGAACAGCTATTGGCAGAAAAGACAAAGGATCTGTTATCTGGAAGCAAGCCACCCCTCATTTACCCAGTGAGGCACTTGCCGGGTAGTAGCTAACCAGACAGGGTCCATGTGAGTCTGACAGAGCAAGATGTGGCACAGACACAGCTCTATCATGCTATGCTGTGTGCTTGGCCAGCCTGACTGCCTTTGACAGAGATGACTGGCTTGGTGGACAAGGGAAGGCAGCAAAGTCACGTGCCTTGACTTAGCAAGCTTCTGACACGCTCTGCCTGAGCATTCTTGAAGCCAAATGCAGGCCAGATAGCTGGGCCCCACAGAAAACTGCTCAAAGTTTCCAAGTTCAGCTGACACTCAGTTACTAGCAGAGCTACTTGTAGGCTGATATTAGGGCCAATGCCTTTCAACAGCTTCATTAACAACAATCCATGACAGGAGGGGATGTACGCTCATCCTGCTTGTGTCTGGCAGCAAGTGGCCAGGACCAGACAATACACTGACGAGCCCGGCTGCTTTTCAGAGGGATCTGGCAGGCTGCAGAAATGGACTGAGAGAAACCTTCAGGTTCTCAAGGACAGTTGAACACAAAGTCAGCACGGTGCCCCTGCAGCAAGAAGACCGCTACCTGCTGGGCTGTGTGAACGCAAACGTAGTCAGCAGGCCAAAGAAAGTGGTTATTCACCTCTGTGTGGCATCTGTGACACTGTGTCTAGAGCTGGGGAAATTCTGGTTGTACACAAGGAAAAAAACTTCACACAGTGATAAAGAACTGGAACAGGGACCAGAGAGGCAGGGGTATCTTCATCCTTAAAGATACTGAAAACTTACCCGGAGAAGGCCCTGAGCAGCCTGATCTGACTGCGAAGCAGATCTTTTCTTCATCAAGAGATGGGACATCCAGAAGTCCCCTCTAACCTGAATTACTCCATGATTCAGTGACTGAGAAGGTGGGATAATACTAGCTTGGAAATTTCAGCCAATGCCTATGATGGGCTAATTTTCCTTCACTGTGCTCTTGCTGTAGTACTTGTAGTTAGAACTGCCTCACTTTTCACTTACTGTGGGTTGCCACCAGCACTCTGGGTAAGATGGAGCTGGCTGTACACAGCGATCTAATTGTTTGTGACAGCCACATCACCTCTTACTCTCTGTGGTTTAGCTTTATGCTTCCCCTGGAGCATCAGCAACCCCAGTTAGCCCAAACGACAAAAAGCCTGCACTGTCATCTAGTGGCCTGCCAAGGAAATAGCAAGTCCCTGGCTTTAAGCAGCTACCTCAACTGGCCTAATCTTCATTCTCCCTAGCACTCACATTCAGGAGCCTGATTGTTGGGGACAGACTCACCTCTGGCAGAAATCAAGTCACTGCTTCAGCACAGTAATACCAACCCAGATCTCACAGCCTTGTCACTAGCCTGAGCTTTCCTGGGGACACACCACCAGAACAGCAAATACCTTTGAAAAAAGTATAGGGGCAAAGAAGGGATGTAGAAGTGAAGTGGACAGGTTTGAACCACAAGATCCCTGTCCTCCTGCGTGCACCAGGCCAGTAAAAGCAGTCTGATGAGGGATTCCTGCACCCTTAGGCAGAGTTTGTCCTACATACAGGACATGGCCACTTACCGTACTGCCCGTGCTGCCCAAGCTTGTAGGAGTATTTCGGAGAGTCATCAGTAGCAGGCACGTTGTCATTCCGCAGCTGAGCCAGCGAGTGCACATCCAGGTGCATATCTGTGCCCTCCAGCTGTCCTGCCTGCACGCCCTCAGCCTTCCGCTGCAGGAGAGCAAAGGCAGGGTTAGAAGGGAGGTACCCAGGGGATTGGATTCCCCAGTAACTGGAGTGTTATGGCTAGAAGCAACTGCTTTCACCTTCCTGGAAATGACTCCTTTATGTCTGTGCTGATGCTAAACCAAACCCATTCCTTCCAGCCCCACAAGCACTCAACACCACCCATAGGGGCAAGTAACTGCTAACACAGCCCAGCTTGCTGCATAGCTTTGGAACTTCCAGGCCATTAAAGCCTAGAAGAGCACAGCCTTGATCTGATTACTGCACAAGGTGGGCAGTGCAAGTCTTCCAGCACTACAGAGGCTGAAAGGATTACGTCAGCTCTTCACAAATCACTTGGTGTTTGGGCTGTCTACGCTGGCTCTGCTTTGCGTGGAGCGTTGGACTACACGACTGCCAGAGGTCACCCCTAATGCGTGTAATTCTACAACTGCCACTCCAGCCAGTGTCATAAAACACCGCTACTGATCTGACAGGAATCACCAGCCAATACTCCTCAGTCCCACACCCACAGATGAAGTCAGCATGACCCAGCTACTGTTGCAGACCCGCTTCCACTCCAGGGAAAAAGCACGTGGCCCTGTGGTGCATCTGAGGAGCAGTGAAAGGAATTCTGCCTCCATTACCACAGGAAAGCACAGGCTCTGAATCATCCTCATGAGGAGAGCCTCTCTTACCTTCGCATCCTCCTGAACAAGTTCATTGAAAGCATCAGAATCCAAACGGATTCCCTTTTCTTCAAGCATCAAGTCAATCAGATCCAGAGGAAACCCCAAATTCCCATAGAGAGACCAGGCTACATCAGCTGTAGGACAAAAAAGAAGCACATGAACTCCGTGTGAACATGGAATGCAAAGACATCTCCAAAGTTGCTTGGACGAGACTCATCTCATGTGTGCTTTGGCAGCCAACTTCACTTTTACTGCGTGCAACTGCACTGATAATGGGGAAGGGAAGAGAAGCCACAAAGTTCTTTTCATACGGGACTAAATGTTAGTGGTGCCCCAAAGCCACATCCTGTCAAAATTCAGCACAGCACAGCTAGATAGGCAGCTGCTCTGGGTGGGTCCTCCTTTTGGCTACATCTTGTAAAGACCCATTTCGTCAGTAAAGAAAGCAGCAACAGAATGCTTCTGACTTTCCCAGTACCTAGTTTGTCGTGAGAATGATGCTCTAGGAAACGATCAAGACCTGGAGAAAGGAGCAGTATCTACTTTTAAATTTGGCATTGGAGTGCCCAGGGCTGGAATGTTCTTGAGGGCATGTGGGGGAAGCAGACAGACACTCACAAGAACAGAATAGTTCAGTTGGAAGGGACCTTCAAAGACCTTCGAGTCCAAAAGAGTTTTGACTTAAATGCTGGCCATGACATGGATCAAACCAGCTTTAAGTGCAGCTTGGCTGAGGGAGGAGACTCACCTGGGAAATTTGTGGAGGGCTGCATCTGCTGCACTGTCCGCTCAATGACGCGCCTCCCCCGCTCGAGGGAGGACAGGAAAGCAGCTTCATTCTCGTTGATGATATTCATGACCTGCCCAAGGAGCAGAAAAAGAGTTGGCCAGAACACCTCAGGGAGCTCCCCAGCTCAGCTCAGCCCAAGCGGGTGTGTAATTGGTGCTGTCTGCTTGAACCAGCCCTCTTGTTCTGCCAGCAGCCATCACAACGTGGCTCCGGCGCGCTATTAAACAGCGCCAAAGTCACTGCGACTCCGATCACCGTTCCTGTTACAGAAATATTGACCATCCACCTGGGGAAGGCTGGATGCTGCCAAATGCTCCTTGTCATCCATTTGTTATCTGTGACCCAATTACAGTTGCATGGCTGGAACAGCCAGAGAAATTGCTTGTCACAGCTGCTGTCAGCTGAAGCCAGGAGGGACTAGCCCTAAATCCCCAAGCCACTTTGGACAAAGGGTACCCGAGCTAGGACAGGCCGTACTTGGATTCAGCAAAAGAGCTGCCCTAGCTTTTTCAGAGCAATGCCTGCCTGATATTAGAACAAGGCGTCCCTGCTAAGGATTTAATAGAGCTCCCACAAAGAAATCTGCCACAGATTTTCGCGTCCAGGCAGTGCCCACGATGCAGATGTGCTCCCCTCACATCAAGGCCTACCCACAAGAACCCAGCTAGGGAAATTCCATCAGCTAAGTCCCGAGACAGGGCTGCCTTCTGCCTCTGAGAGCTGTGTCTCCCAAAGACAATAAGAAAGGGGGTTTCTCTCCAGGGGTTTTCACATCACTCACCTGGTCTGTGCTCTTCCTCAGCTCTGGGTAGGCATCGCCCTGTGAAGTGAGCCTCAGTTAGAGATAACATCCTCAGCAGCTTCCTCAGGAGATCTCACAGTGTCACAACCATTATAGAGGTTTTTCAGGCACGTAAATGTGAAGGGAGCCCCAGCGCACAGCCTCAAGGACAGCATCACAGCAGGAGAATCACACCTGGACTTAGAGCTGCTGTCTCCTGGCTACCTCCCCATGACCCTCCTCTGCCAGCCCCTGCAAAGCATCTCTGTGGCAAATGCGTCAGTTCACAATGGGAAGCAAGCCCTGCCATTTAGGATGCTGTTGGTAACCACGGGGACTGATTTCAGAAGGCTTTCACCAGATATGACAGCTTGGAAGCTGCTGCCCTCAGGAAAGAAGCGTGCCCTTGCATACACTTACACACTCGTGCTGACTGTTAGCACTGGCCCCTTTAGGCACCCCATGGCCCCTATTCCCCCATCAGAAACGATCAAGAGACAAGAGGTTTTTATTGTTGCAATGCACAGCACCATGCATCCCCTCCTGGAGCTCCTTTCCATCCCAGATTGCCTCCTGATGGCATACAGGAATGGAACACGAGGCTGAATAGGCCATGTGATCAATCCTTCCCCAGTGCAGCAGTTTTTACTCACCAGCACCTCCACTACAGTAGGCACGAGGGAAGCCAAGAGCCCAGGCGGAGCGCGAAGGACTTCAGAGCAGAAGCGGACAGCCCTGCGCAGGATCCGACGCAGCACCAGTCTGAAAGCAGGGCAGAATGTCCCGGGCAGCACATGAGCATCCCTGCTCAGCTCCCGCATCCAGCACACCCCACGTGCAGCCCCTCTCGAGCCTGACCTATTGCCAAAGAGCTGCTCCATGCGCTCTACGCCTACCCAAGGATGAATTATTGCAGGTCTGAACCTCCTCCAGGCTCTCACCTTCCTGTCTCCCCAAAGACAGGGGGCACCCCTTACTTTGGCTCACACCAGAACCACTCCCCTACCTGCTCACGTTCCCTTCTGGACCTAATTCCCACCACACTGTGCCATTTCCACACATCCTTACTCTGCTCCGGAGAGGCCTGGGTAGATGCCATCAGTGATGCACACGCACAACGTCCTCACGTGATCTGCCACTACGCGGTAGGCCATATTCACACGCCCAGCGTCAGCATCCCCGATCAGACCCTGGTACCTGGGCGCGCCACAGCCCTAAAAACAAAAAGGGGAGAGACAGATCAGCACGGCTGAATGGCTGCAGAAGGAAAAGTTGCAATCCTAGAGGCAGCCAGCTATGCTTGACATCATGCTTCTCAACTACTTTGTGCATCTAGGATGTACTCATTAAATCCTTACAGAACATTACAGACTGGCCAGCCAATGCCTTGGCCCTGAGGAATTTAGGAAAACTTGAAGGACAAAGGAACTGGCAGTGCTGATATACCAGTGGAATTTTCCCTCAGCTCCCTTAGATGCTGCCGTGGGCCTGGCCAGACAAACCTCCCCTCTCAAAATACAGCACGGTACCACATGTAGAGAAGGCTGTACTATGATACCAGGCAGTCTGCACTCGAGGAGCTTTTTCTTAGCTGTAACTCTGAGCAGGAGCACTGTCACCTTGTGAATGGCGTCCAAGATGGGCGTGAAGAGATCCGTGTCGTAGTTGGAGCGTTTGTTCTGCAGAACGGCCACCAGCCTTTCCAAGCCCATTCCTGTATCCACATGGTGCTGAGGCAAGGGAAGCAAATTCCCTTCCACCTCTCTGTCAGCGAGCCAGGAAAAAAAGGCAAAAGAGAACCAAGGGTCAGGTCAGGGGCAAAGAAAAGGTGCAGGTGAATCACAGAGACTGGGAGAGCGATGGGGGATGGAAACAGGAGGTGACCCAACAGAAAGATGCTCAGGGATGAGACTAACAGCAGCCTGCCTTGGCACTGCCAGGCAGCCAGGCTCTAAGGGTCAGATAGTCAGGTACACTGTGACATGCAGAAAAGGGGCTTCCTTCAACAGGGGCCCCAGGCCTTCTCCTTATTCTCAGGTTTTCTCTGAGATGTCTGAGGACATACACATACAGTTCTGATGTTATATGAAGGGGAAAGGCTCTGGAGCTTAGTCAAAGCGCCTGGTACCTGTTATACTGCATGAAGACCAGGTTCCAGATCTCCACCACATCAGGGCTGCCCTGGTTCACCAGTGCTGCAGCATTTCTGCCACCACCCACGTGGTCGTAGTGGATCTCTGTGCAGGGACCGCAGGGACCTGTGTCACCCATCTCCCAGAAGTTGTCCTTCAATGGAAAAGGCAGCACGCGACTGGCAGGCACCCTGGAAAGGCAGACAACAGAAGTGGCAGTGCTGGGGCATGCATGAAAAGCACACAGTAGCCTATGTATCAGGGAAATCTGGAAGAAGGGATCCTTTCTGACTGTTGCAACTCACTATCCAAACACATTAGGACTTGTTTGCTTCAGTTCATGCAGAATTATGCTCCTTAGCAGGAACAGACTGCCCCAAACCTAACAGGACCCTAGTCACTGCTCCGAATAGCTAGCAAACTGAATCTGGCTCCTGCTGATGGAGACAGGCGCTCCACCAGGTCAGTGAGGCCACTTTTCTCCTTGGAAAAAAATCTAGCAGAGCTAAGATGTGATCAGGATGAAAGGAAAGGACAAAGACATTCTTCAGGCGCTTCACCTAGGTCAGACAGGCTTGGGTGTATGGCCCCAAACTGACAGCATCTGAGCAGCAGCTTAAAGGTGAAGTGCCCCAGGGCGCTCAGACTTTTAGCAGCCCAAACAAAGCAGAAACTAAACGTGTTTAAAACCCAGTTTTTGACTCCTGCATTTGCTTCCCATCAACTAAAGAGCAAATGAGAGGCTACGGAGGGTGGAACGTCAGTACCTGCTGCTCAGGACCTTTTCTCTAACACACTCACCCCAGCTGGAGCCATACGTCCCTGCACTCCTCGTCAGCGCTCAGCCCCAGTGAGGAGTCTCCGCCAAAGTACGTGACGTAGAGGCGATCTTTGGGGATCTCGTAGACCTCCGTCAAGAGCTCCCAGGCCATGCTGCACGCTTCCTCCTGAGCAGATAAGGGACACAGAGGTAGCACAGGAATTCAAGGTGTGGAGTGAGACAGAAGGTTCTTCAGGACGGGAGTCAGATGCCAAAGAAGCACATTTCAGCCACTCTCATTTTGTGATTTTAAAGTGTGTTCGGAGAGCAGCATGATGGTCAGACAAGCAACACAGCTCATCTCTATCACGTAAACGTGACATTCCTAAATTACTGGGAGACCTTCAGGATCTCAGCGTGGCCGACACTCACCTGTTTACCACCATAACCGTTTCAGTTTATTTAACATTCCTGTTTACTTAGCTGGTTATTTCTTCCCAAGGCAAATCGTATTTGCGAGCAAAACTACTAGCATCTTTCATCCTTCTTCCCTTTTCCCACCTTTACAGCAAAAAGCACCAGGCGAACTGGAAACCTCTTTTAACCCACACGAAGGGTCAACAGTGGCGTTCACCTGGAGAACTTTGCTTTGTACACACCGTCTGAAGCTCTGAAAAGCTGAATACTTTGAGAGAAACGAGCTCTCTGCGGGAACACCCAGTGCTCCAGCACGCTGCCCTCCAACCATGGGGCTGCCAAGGAGGAGTACGACACTTGCCATGCCACCTAGTGCAAATAAATTTATTTTTCAGGCCTGCAGCAGCCGGCAGAGCTGCGTCCCGGCCTCACCTTGAAGTAGTCCCCGAAGGACCAGTTGCCCAGCATCTCGAAGAAGGTGTGATGGCAGCCGTCCCGGCCCACGTCCTCCAGGTCGTTGTGCTTGCCCCCGGCGCGCACACACTTCTGGCTGTTCACCACCCGCCGGTACCGCGACAGCTCGCTGCGGGGGTGCGCCGTGCCCAGGAAAATGGGCTTAAACTGCGAGATAACGGGGAAAGAGAGAGAGATGGAAGGGAAGGGGAGGTGGGGGGGGTGGGGGGGGGGAGGGTGCAGTCAGCGCTGCCACCCGGAGGGGATGGGGCGCACCTGGTTCATGCCCGCATTGACGAAGAGGAGGCTGGGGTCCCCGCGGGGCCGCACGGGGGCGGAGGGCAGGCGGCGGTGGCCGTGCTGCTGCTGGAAGAAGCGCAGGAAGGCGGCGCGGACCCGGGCTGCGGGCAGCGCTGAGGGCAGGCGGCCGCCCGCCGCCATCTTAGGGCGAGGGGCGGAAACAGGAAGGGCGCCATGGCAGGGGCAGGGGGCAGGGGGAGGAGGAGGAGGAGGAGGAGGAGGAGGAGGAGGAGGAGGAGGCGGCATGGCGGCGCGGCGGGCATGGTGCCTCAGGCGGCTGGGGGCCAGCGGCGGGTGGCTGCTGCTGGAGGCCGGCACGCAGGTCAGCCGGGGGGAGGCCCGCAAGCAGCCCCGGGGTGCCGGTGGTGGGAAACGAGGGGGGAAAATGGGGTTTGGGGGGGTCCTTTGGGGGGAGTGGTAGCATGGGGGGGGTGTTGGGGTCGGTTTGTTATGACTCTCATTGCTCTTTTCAGGTGTGTGTGTTTTTCTAATTGGGAAGCCCAGGGAGGTCCTTGCACCCTTGCCCTGCAGCTCAGCCCTGTGGAGGGGGAGCTGCACAAACACCCACCACCCGCATCAGTGCTAGGGGGTCCGTGCTGCATCGAGCACCTTTGGGCTCTGCCTTGCGAAGGGAACCCCTCTTAAAGCCCCTTTTGCCCCTAGGAAGCTCTTGGAGCAAGTGCACAGCTTTATTGCTCTATCTGTATTGCTCTGGAGCCGGGCGTTGTGCAGGTGTGCTCAGCTCTGGACCTGAATTAGGGAACCCACGGGGACTCGGTTGGTTGAGTGGGGAGTCTTGGCTGAGCTGGCTCTGCTTGTTGCCTGCCTGGTGTCATGGTGTCACTGCCTCTCTTGGATGAGACCCGCTCAGGTAACATGCAGGGAATGGGCCTTCCTTCAGCACAACACCTTGCCGTCACAGAAAGTGGAAGGCGTGATGCCAGTGAGTCGAGATTGCAGCCTTAATAAAAGGTGCACTTTATAAAGAGTGCACTTTTAGACCAGTGAAACCAGTGCATCTGGTTTAACTTGTGGGCTTCTGCCAAAAGGTGTTTTGGCCTGCTTCTTTGGCTACATGCTCTTGTAGCATTGGAGCCACATGGTTGTCCAGCTCCATGGCAAGCTGTCTGAGCTGGCTGGAAACTTGTGCAGCGTGCAGATGAATAATAGAAATGTGTGCAGTAATCAGATCATGCAAAGCAGGCAGCGGAGAGAGGGAGAACAGAGCCGTGCTTTAAATGGCAGCCTGCAAATAGATCAGATTTAATAAGATACTGTGAAACTGTACCATTAAATTATATCTCCTTCCAGAAGATGCTGTTGGGTTCTAATCAGGTTACTTAGATCACTTTCACTGCTGGCTACGAACTGCATGTAGTGTAGTTTCTGGGCCTTGAGATGATGGTGTGATTTACTAAAGTACCATGCTTTAAGGCAACGATTACATATGCATTTTTTCGATGCCAGTTTTCTGGGCTATTTTTTCCTGTGTCTTTCCTGGTTACAGAGAGTTGAACAGGTGCTGCTAGCTAAAGAAAAGGATAAGAAATAACCTTGAGGTCCATACGATTGTGCTGGTTTGAAGAAGTATTGTTCAGTTAGGTCATGAATAAGGTGGGGTATGGATGGAGTGAGAGCTGCTTAGAGCAGCTTTACTATTGAGGAAAATTTCCATGAAACCAAGGCTGTAATCTGCTTAAGACCAATCAAACTTTTGTCAACATGAGAGAAAGAGACTGCTTCAAATTCTTGTACAGGCTTCCATTTTCTAATTACTCTTAAATTTATATGCAAAAAAATGCCACCCAACATTATCCTAAATTCTTGGGAAATGCCTATAAGGTGCTAATCCGGATAGATTTGTGCTGTACTTAGATTGAAACCATATGATCTGAATTTACCATGTTGTTGCTGATTTTAATTTCAATGACTTTATTCTTAGGTGACTATCGGCCGAGGATTAGATCTCACGTACCAGCTGGTGTCAAAAACCTGTCCCTTGATGATCTCTCGTAACCACTGTGTTTTCCAGCAAAATGCAGAAGGGCAGTGGACTGTCAAGGATAACAAGGTACAGAGGCTGACCAAAGACCTTGTACTCTCACTTTGCCTGTAAACAATGCCCTGTTTGGGTTCGAACAATGTCTTTGACTATAATATAAGTGTGATGGATGGTCCATGGGAGCGTGTCTTACCTGTTGTACACTTGTAGAAGGAAGCTTCAGTCTGCTGCAGCTGGGATGCAGACCTTAGTGCTTTGTGTACGTAGGCTTGTCTCTTGGTATAGCATTTTTCAGACAATTACAGTCCCACACAGGCACTTTGCTGTCTGTGAACCTGTTTTTTGTTGCTGTTTTTTAAAGGAAAAGAAAAGAAACAACTATGATTTTTGGCAGCATTCAGAAAGGTAACATTCTTGTGTAGCTAATAAAATGGTAAACTGATGTTCTTCATTGCAGTGACAAAATTGCTTTCATTATAATAAACTACAATGAAAATCTGCTGTTGGAAAAAATAATATTTTGTGTGATCATCAAATGCATTTCTGCTAAACTCCTCCTCAGCTGATTAGAACACAGAATAAAGCGTTGAGAGCAGTCTTTGAGAGTTAGGTCTCACTTTGACTTCAGTAGCGATCTCTTCTGAAACGTGATCTTTGCTCTTTCTCATTCATGCTGAAAAATGCAGAATCAGCAACTTAATGTAGAACAAGTTTTCAATACGTCATACAGACATGAAGGATGTTTGGGTCAATGACAGATACTGCAGAAAGAAATGGAGTGGCTACTGAAATTACACTACTCTTAAACAAAACTCTATTGCAGTAACTGTATCATCTTGAGAACTTAGTGTTTGTATGATTGAAAACATCAGTGGCAGATCAACTATTAACACCTTCTGTGTTATCACTGCTACCATTTTGTCAAGTTGTTTTATTGAATCCCTGGGATATCTCAGTTCCTAATGATTCTGCAGTTCATCTTGAGCACAGTTCAGTTGCTCTGTCTTTCAAAACAATTTCTTGAGCTAGTGCCTAATTAAAGAAAGAAACAAACAAACAAACAAAAAAAAAAAGCAAAACTCCTGATGGGAACATCAGCTCTTGAAGACAATTTTCCCTCTTGTTTATATTAATCTTTTATGTATGGAGAACTGTTTTTTTTCTTTTTTTTTTTCCCTTGCATTCAGCAGTGCAAGCTATGCTCATTTTTACTTTCTAGTTTCTTCTTGGATTTCAGGTGTCATTAATTGTCAAAAAGAATTACATCAACAAGAACATAGGACGTTCCAGTGCTGTGCAGTCTTTTCTGTTGGATAGTTCTTGCCTCTGAAGCTTTTGAGTGGTTTCTTTCCCTTAGGCTTCATTCTTTTCTGTCTGCACAAGTACATATATTAGTATTGTTCTTAGTGCTTGTAAGTAAAAATCTGTAATGTAGTAATAATACAAGGTAAATATTATAACACAGTAACTGCAATAAACAGGACACTGAGGCAATAAATTGGATGTTGCAATGCTTATTTCAAGAGTTAGCTTGTTTCTATTGCAGTACTGCAAAGACTGGATATGTTTACAGTTGCCAGAAATAACTTGCAGATGGCTTTGTATGTTGAACCTTGCATATTGAATCTTGCCGATTCTTTGTTCATTTGCAGAGTCTGAATGGAGTGTGGCTTAATAAACAGCGCCTGGATCCTTCAAAGACCTATCCTATAACTGAAGGAGACCGTATCCAGTTGGGAGTGCCTTTGGAAAACAGAGAGACTGCCGAATATGAGTATGAAGTAATTAAAGAGGAGTGGGAGAAAATCAGACCCTATTTAGCCCAAAGGAATGACCTGGGGAAAGCTAAGAGTTCAAGAACTAAACGTAAATTTAGTTTGGAGGAATCAGAGACATCTGGATCAGAAGGCCCTTCAAATTCCAGATCCAAAAGAGACAGAGTGTCCTATGACAGTGAACCTTTGGGGAAACCATGTGGAAGGGTAGAAGAGGTAGAGGAGTTGGCAGAGAAGATGGATGTTGAGCTGCCTTCTCCTGGCTCAAGTGAGGAGGACGGTGGTCCAGTGCGTAGCAGTCCTGTGCAAGCCGAGAAAGCTGTGTCTGTCGCACCAAAGGACCAGAAGGGCTCTGTTCTTTCTCAGTCGTGGAGTGGCCTGGAAAAGCTGAGGAAAACTCTTGGAGATATAAAGGAGTTAAAAGTGAAAGTGCAGGATAAACAGACAGCAGTTCTGAACGCGAAGCAAAAGCGCAGGAAGGCTGCTCAGAAGTCAATCCTAGCAATGGAACAGGAGCTGCAGGAATTGCAGGAGCAGCTGTGCACAGAACAAGAGCAGCATCAACAGCAGATGGAAGAGCTGGAGAAGACATTCTCCAAAGAGCAGCAGAATCTAGAGGTATGATGGCGGTCATCTTTTTGGTCTGTGTGCTTTGGGTTTCGTAGAACGCCTAATATGACACTGATCTTGATCTTGCACTACACAAAAGATCTTGAACAATACAAAAATAGCAACAGAAACAATGTTCCTGTTAATTAATCCAGTGTAAACTGTTACAGAAGTATTTTACTATTAGGAATGTGTACCAAAAGAACGTGAGAGACAAAGGATTGGGTTACAAACGGAAAAGATGCGAAATTAAAAAACAAAACAAAACAAAAAAACAGCAGGTTAAAAAAGCATTTTTTTTTAATTTAAAAACCAACTTTTTTTTTTTAATACAAAATCAAAAATCTCTGCCTCATCTGTGGCTACAAGGAGGACAAGTTGAAAATTATTTACCTTAAGAGGGAATTTCTATGGCTGTTTCAGAATCAACGCTAAATTCACATGGGAAATCTATTCCCTTTCCAAGAGCTTTATCATATTCCTTTACCTCTTAATTCAGAGTTTGAGGAAGGGAATGTTTTTCTTACTTACAAACAAAACAAAAAAACCTTTCTTGGAACTGCACATTCCTTCAAGCAGTATGTGTGTGCTGGTAACTTTTTTTTAAGCTAAGAAGCTACAAGCCTACCTTTCTGTTTGTGTTTACTTGAAATCTGGTTTAAAGGAAGTAGGAATTCATTGGGGTTACTTTCATAATTTATCAGTTACTTCCTTTAAAGTCTGCTGCTAAAGGAGAAACATCTGTAATAGAAATACAGGAGGTCTGGAGCTGTGTGCTTAGGCACAAAGAGCAGTTCAGCTGAAGCTGTAGATATGTTTAACCTCTCTAAATGCATTTAGAGATACAGGTGCAGCTTTTTCTCATGTTTAAGCTGTTGCTGACCTCTTGGCTTTTGTGAACATTCCAGTGCCTTTGGATCTGGAATAACATGGAGGAGTTCCAAGTATGTAACTGTAAATGATACCTTCATTTTAACTCTTCGCAGTAAATGATAGCTCTAATTTCAGTAGTGCTTATGAAGCACGAGAGTGAGCCTTCTCAGCTTTCACCTAAAATCAGTGCTGTTCCTTTCAGTATATTCTCTAAGGGAATGTGCAAAAGAGTCATTTTTATTCCCATGCTTTCTTTGAGTATTTCTTACTTCCTCCAGTATTTTCTTTCCAGCAAAAATGTCTTTTTGTTTTTTCTCAGGGAGTAAAGTGGCAACAAGGAGAAGAGAATCTGAAGGAGCAGCTGACCCAGGTCCTGCAAGAGGCAAGTAGTTACGAGTCTAAGTTCGGTCTTGCTGTGTAACTCATACATTTAAATCTTTCTTATTGCTGTGGCCTCGTGGTGGAAGACTAGGACTGTGGCTAAAGTGCAGATCAGGTGGTCTGCATCTTCTACAGAGCAATTTGCTGTTAGTAAGTGACAGGCTTTCCTTCTTGGGAGTAGCTGTTTGCCAGCTGATAACACACGAGTGTGCTCATTGAAAGCATTCAGTAGCTGTAATGAATTTGTTGAATTTGTTCCCTAAGTTGGTGGGCTGTTTTGCAAAGTCTTTCTGCTGGGTACCTGTTTTGGGAAAGCTGCTTTGACAGTTTTAACTAGAAGAAAAAAAAATCAGAGAAGTTCCTATCCTACTGTCTGGTGGGCAGGATCATTCTGTAGTGGCACTGGCAATGCCTCTTACGTGCCATCTACTGTCAGATTTTCATTTTTACTTCTGTGTTCTACGGTGAGTTTTACTGTGAACTGCATGAGCTCATTTGCTGTACACTTTAAGCCATTCTCTTCTCATTCATGATTGCATGGCATATGTATATATATATCTTGTTTAGTGCTGCTAGCTTCTATTTTATAAAACTGTAGGAGTTTACATGTCATTTGTGTTACTGCAAAAAGGGAGTTGACTCATGGTACACAGAAAAAGAGTAACCTGGGAGAGGGGATGAGAGGTGCTATGACACCAGGAAGGCCATAAATGACTGACAGCACCTTCCAGTTTGAAGTTCATGGCAGTCAGGTGAAGTCCCTGGTAACTGGAAAAAGGGAAACATCACTTCCATTTGTAAAATGGGTAGAAAGGAGGAGCCAGGGAATTACAAACCAGTGAGCCTCACCTCTGTGCCTGGAAAGGTAATGGAACAGATCTTCCTGGAAGCAATATCAAGGCACAAGCAAGACAAGGAGGTGATCTGAGACAGCTTCAGATGGCAAACTGTGCCTGACCAACCTGGTGGCCTTCTATGATGGTGATTGCATCAGTTGATAGAAGAAGACCGACTGATATATCTGCCTGGAATTTTGTAGGGCCTTTGACACAGTTTTACATGACATCCTGCCAGCACGGCATCGCTAGCAGGTCGAGGGAGGTGATTGTCCCGCTCTACTCTGCGCTGGTGAGGCCTCACCTCGAGTACTGTGTGCAGTTCTGGGCACCACAGTATAAAAAGGACATGAACTGTTGGAGAGTGTCCAGAGGAGGGCTACGAAGATGGTGAAAGGCCTGGAGGGGAAGACGTACGAGGAACGGCTGAGGGCACTGGGCCTGTTCAGCCTGGAGAAGAGGAGGCTGAGGGGAGACCTCATCGCAGTCTACAACTTCCTCGTAAGGGGGTGTCGAGAGGCAGGAGACCTTTTCTCCATTAACACCAGCGACAGGACCCGCGGGAACGGAGTTAAGCTGAGGCAGGGGAAGTTTAGGCTGGACATCAGGAAGGGGTTCTTCACAGAGAGAGTGGTTGCACACTGGAACAGGCTCCCCAGGGAAGTGGTCACTGCACCGAGCCTGACTGAATTTAAGAAGAGATTGGACTGTGCACTTAGTCACATGGTCTGAACTTGGGTAGACCTGTGCGGTGTCAAGAGTTGGACTTGATGATCCTTAAGGGTCCCTTCCAACTCAGGATATTCTATGATTCTATGATCCTGATCTCCAAATTGGGAAGATACGGATTTGATGGGTGGACCATTCAGTGGATAAGGAGTTGGTTTGAAGGTTGCACCTGGAGAGTGGTGGTCAATGGCTCTGTGTCCAGGTGGAGGTCTGTAGGCGTCTTATAAAAAATGGAGATCAACTTTATGCTTGGACAGATAGCAATAGGACAAGGAAGAATGGCTTTAAACTAAAAGAGGGGAGATTTAGGTTAAAGTTAGGGGGAAATTCTTCACTCAGAGGGTGGTGAGGCCCTGGCACAGGCTGCCCGGAGAAGCTGTGGATGCCCCATCCCTGGAATTGCTCAAGGCCAGGCTGGATGGGGCTTTGGGCAACCTGATCTGGTGGGAGGTGTCCCTGCCCATGGCGGGGGGATTGGAACCAGGTGGTCTTTAAGGTCCTTCTAACCCAAGCTGTTCTATGGTTCTGTGTAAACTGCCTTAACTTAACGCCCCAGCTCATACAGGCACGTTTCGCTCTTCTAGGAGAAGACAGGAGAAATGAGTATGCTGAACCTCATGATTAAAGCTGTGTATATTTAATAGGGTAGTTTATAATGACAGTTTTATTTCTGGGATGGTGTCATTACAGCATCACGCTTTGATGGAAGAACTGAACCGTAATAAAAAAGATTTCGAAGAGATAATTCGAGCCAAGAATAAAGAACTGGAAGAAACCAAGGTAAGGAATAAAATTGAGCTTTCCATAAGTGAAATGAGATGCTGCAGCAGCAGAAATGGTTTATTTAATGTTTGCCTTGACTGTGTTATCTCTTATGCGTGGAGGGTGCATGGGAAGATACTCTGCCTTGTTCATAAAGTACTATTGAAGAGTCATTACCAGATCTTTCCCAGTCATACAGAAAACAGGGCACTTGAATTATGTGGTATGCAGGAGAAGTAGACCGATTCCGTCCTTCATTTAAGGAAAAAAAGAAGTGGGTGCTTCATTTTCAGTTAAATGTTTCAGTTTAAGTAAAACTGCAGTGTGTTCTTGCCATCCTACAAGGGGTGTAGGACCGAAACATGACATTTTAATAATTCATGTGATAAGCCATGTTTCTTTCTGCCCGTGTCACAAGGTGATGAGTGGAAGATAATTAAGGGATCCAGTGCTGTGTCTTACCTATAGATATTATGATGTTTCATACCTCTGGCTGTTGGCTTTGTTTTTGTTTATTTTGGGCATCTTTGCAACTGTTGTTTAATGTATAGCTTCAGCTGGAATAATTTTTGTTGTTTTTAGAAGATGGAACAGATAGGAGCCTAATTAACTGCAAACAAAACAAAAATGCAAGTAAATGTTTTACATTCTCAATTTATTTTTTTTTAATATTTGAAGTATTTTGTCTGTTGGGTTTCTGGCTCAGGCATCAAAAGAATCATTCTGTTAACTTAAGCCATACTCATGTCACAAAGAGGTTTTTACCTGTGCTACATTCCCCCCCCACACACACACACTTCCCACCAATATTATATTGAGTAAAACTTTGTTAGTAAGTGAACATATTTGTTTTTCCGACAGGAAGAGAAGGAAAAGGTGAGAGCCCAAAAAGAGGAAGTGTTGAATCAGATGAATGACGTGTTGGAGAATGAGCTGCAGTGCACAATCTGTTCTGAACACTTCATTGAGGTATGTTTAAGCCAGCGTGGCTTTGCCAGCAGAGAACAGAGTTGAGAAGCTTTCACTAGCTCTGCTAAAGCAATAGTTGAGTTTTTTTTTTCTTTTCTTCTTCAGTTTAACAGACTAAACAGGTGACTTGTGGTAAGGGTTGGTCCAGAATCCCATTCTGTCTGCCTTAATGTTCTGCTGGACAGCAGGTTCAGCCTTAATGTCTCTACCTGCATAGAGATGAACACTTAATCCTAAGGTGCATTCAGGCTTGCAGAAGTCATTTTGTAGTGGACCTTGCTTTAAGTTGACTAGGATTGGACAGCTTCAGGGTTAGATACAGGAAGAGGTTAGTAAAGGAAGGGGGGTTGCAGCGTTCATCAAGTTCTGAATCATTTATATTGTTCAGATAAAAACTTCTGAGAAGTTGGCCAGCTTTATTTAATCAAATAAAGTTTATATGTTGACTGCTGCCTGTGTCTGAAATACCAACTTCTGTTCATGTTGTGCTAGAATTTCTGTTGCCTTACGTTCAGTTCTACTACAGGAAGACTGCTGCTAGCCTTCTTATAATGACTTAAGGGCTAGCTAAAATTTCAGTTTCTGATTTCAGTAATTTAAGTTACTATTTCGTAGTACCTGATTTTTTTCCATAATTTGACCCTTTCAAATAAATTTATTCGTTCTCTCTGTCTCTGCTGTAGCTACAGACTTGCTATGATTTACTGTGAACACACTAACCAACTTTTAAAACCTGTCTGTACTCTGGCATAGGAATGTTATTTTATGTGTGACCCCTGTAAAAGGTCAAGGAAGGGCCCTTGTGCTTCCTCCCCACCCTTACCTTATAAGAAGAGTTCATCTAAATTTTTTGTGACCTTGGTGTTATTTTAATTTTGCAATGCTTATGTAAGCACGCTCTGAGAAGTATCCTTCCCTTAAATTCTGCAGGCAGTCACTCTGAACTGTGCGCACAGTTTCTGCTCCTACTGTATCAATGAGTGGACAAAACGCAAAGTGGAGTGCCCTATCTGCAGGCAGGAGATCAAGTCAAAGACGCGCTCTCTGGTGCTGGATAACTGCATTGATAGGATGGTAGAAAACCTGGATGTGGAGATGAGAGAGCATCGCCTGTCCCTGATCAGAGAGCGGAAAGGTGAGAGGTGGGTGGATGTGGCATGATGAGTACAATCTCTCATTTCACCTATTTTCTACACCTTTCTTTGGCACCTATATACTAAGGAGATGCTCAGAGAATGCAGCAGAAATATTGGAAAATGACTTCCTGTTGTGTATGAGGATAAATATTCATTATTGGCAGAATCAGCAACAATTGAGATGGGGAAATGATTTTAAGATTTGTTGCATAACTAGCTTTACCACACCGTAGAACAGAATAAAAAGTTTGGAAAAAGACTTCAGTACGAATTGCACAGTCCAGCTGCAAGACTTAACCATAAGATAGGTTGTTCTGTTTCGAAGACATCACTAAAGAAAAGCAAAACTACATAGAGTGGGCCTTGACAAATTTACCAGGCACCTTTTGATCAAACTAGTGACTACCCCATTGCAGAAACTCAGGAGAGCAATGCTTCATGAGAAACTGAATTCTCTTCCATGTGCTAGACTTCCACAGGAATCTCCGAAGAGAATGTTGGCATGGGCATGTGGCTGAAATGGCAGCTGCTTTCCCATACTCATTCTTACAGAGTTTACCTCTGTGGCCTTAACGCAAAACCTTGTGTCTTATTTGTAGCTGAAAGACTGTGCGTGACAGTAAGGGCTGCAGGTAAAATTCCAGTATAGGAGTATTCCTATTCTGCTGCCCCCTTCCAATTTTATTTCTAGAGCACTTGACACTGGTATCTAGGTGCCGAAACATAGAAGTCTTTTCTTTCTTGCTACCCCTTAATAAATTCCTGTTGCTGTGTTCCCTTAAGTAATTGTCCTGATTTCCCATTGTAGCCGTAAGTGCATGATCCTTTCTTTTGCAAAGTGTTGAGCCTTTTGAAGTCCTTCATAATGAGAGGTGCTTTCGAAATATTTCGGATCCTCCGTGGTGACATAGAATGACATCGCTAAGCAGGGTTAATTCTAACCTGAAATCACCACCTGTTTAACCAATGTAGCCTGATTCTCTCAGGAAGTGCTGTGCTGCTTGGAGGCTGTCCAGCATGGCTTTGTGATTTGCTTTCACCTCTGCAGAGCTGACACCACTCTTGCATTATGTGCACATCTGCAGAGTGTGCTGTAGCATGTCTGAAGTGCCTCATCAGCTACCTAGTAGTGATTGGATGAAGTGTCGCCTTTGTTGGAGCACACTTCATTTCCATATGGTGGAAAATTGTCCCGTAGCGTACCTTCACATGTGATAGATGCTGTAACTATAAAATAATCAGTTGCAGGAAGTCATGTAGATTTGCCATGACACCCTTCAGGCGAAAGGAAGAATTGCTTTATGTGGCCATCTTATTCAGTGATGGAAACATTACTAACCAGATGAAGGTAGCCGTATGTCTAATTAAAGATGAAATCGTGAGAAAGAATCAGCTGACATAGAAATAATGATTCAGGTAGCACTTGAGAAGCCTTGTCAGATAATAAACTGTAGTATAAGGGACACCAGTTTACTGCTCTTAAATGTGTGGAGATTTTCATGGGGCCTTCGGTGTCCCTCGAGAAGTAATGGCTGTTCACTGCCATTACTTACTGAGAGCTTCTTACCGTGTTTTGTGGCTTCTTCCTTTCTTACCTGGCAACGTGCTGTAACAGCTAGCTGCTACCTTCTGCCAACTGTGGGCCACTGAAGGGATGCAGAATGCCTCCTTCTCATACGTGCTATGATAACAGAAAGAGGCATGTGGGAAAATGAAAACAAATAAAAAACATTTAATGATGAAAGTTAAAATGAAAAATACTTAGGCCCTGTAGCTTGAAGGACCTAATATAAGGTAACAGTGGGAGGCTATAAGACTCAAAGAAAACTAGTAATGTGTGCATTTGTGGGTACGGTGATTGGTGCTAATTTTTGTATCTGTTTTGAATGCAGAGAAATGGAAGATGTTGGTGAACCCAGCCGAGGACAATGACAGCAATGTCATTCCTTCCATCTACCCCATCTTGTCAGTGAGCAGCTGTGACAGTGAAGACTCTGAGGAGGATTCTTACCATGGTGAAAGCAACTGCATTATCTAAACACTAACTTTAGACTGGTTTGCCTGTGTGCTGCCAAGAACCAACCTCATGCTATTTGGTTTACTACTGCTGGATGAATGGATTGGACATCTGGAAGGAGAGATTCCATGAAGAGGCCGTAACTGAGATGAAAAGTAGCAGCGTTTGGAAGAAGGACTTTATTTTTTAAATGAATGTACAGAAGCTTAATCTCTAAAACGGAATTTGGATTGTGGAAGAGCAAGCTGGTGTTATGCTAGATAGTTGACATAAAACCCAGGTTACCACAATCACTTGTGACCTCCTGGTTAGTGTGGTATATATGTTTGAGTGCATTGCTGCCCTTTCCTGAGTGAATGGAGTGTCTTAAATGTGTACACCAGGTCCCCTTATTCAGCCAGCAGAGGAAATGGCACAAGCTATTTGAGAACTTGATCATTCCCACCGCCTAACAGGAGAGGTATATCGGAAAAACATGCCAATGTGGGTTTTCCTCTTGAACTTTTTGTCAGCTCCAGTCATCCTAGGACTTTCTGGCACTAAAGTTAAAAAAGAGTGGGTTATGGGTCATATCAGCTTTACGTGCTTACATGCATCATAAGCTAAACTCCTGGCTTGTTTGTTCAGATGATGTTACTCATTTTCTGTTGGGTAGCGATGGAGAAGATTAAATCTTCCAGAATTCCTTAGCTTGTGCCCTTTTCATATAGCATCTTTGGTTTGTTCCCTTTCAGGCTTTTGCATAAGGAGTTGTAGAATTTTGAAGCAGCACATCCAGAAGTTATTAGCAGTGACTTCTAAAAGATATTTACTTCTTGTCGGTGCCAGAGAGGAATTTTGGTCTCTTCAGAAGTACTGCTAGCTGAATGAACAAAATGTTCCATTGGCAGGGTAGGAGAGCAGCATCTGTAGTCAGCCACAGACAGAAGGAAGTGCTTAGGTCAATTGTTTACAAAACGTTGCTGTTGAGCTGTGTCTTGTATTGCCCTCACAGCAGATAATGCGTCCCTAAGACTGAGCAAGTCTTGCCTCATCCTGTCGCCTATGTGAAATAATACAAAATTGTCTATGAAATTCATTTCTCAGAGGTGTATGCTTTTGACTTAGCTTTTAGTTGGAAAGCTTTTACCATTACATCAATGAGAGGAGGATGAAGAAAGCTTTTCTCATCTGTAGTATTTCTTTGGCTATTTGTATGTATTTCTTGTTTCTTTGTCCATTTTGTTTAAGATGGAAAATATAAACCCATTTGTGCATTAGCCTTCCTCGGTGCAACCCCTGAGATGTGTCTTTCTCCTAGTTACCTTAGAATTTTTTAGAAAACCCAGATTGTCTCATTTTTATGACCCTGTTTGCTTCATGTTTTGATTGCTTTAAGCAGTTTGACTATTTTAAATTTATTTGAAAGACTGTTGTATGCAGGAGTTGATAAAAGACATCCCAGCTCTTTAAGCCTGTGTTAGCAGTGGCTATCATAATGGTAATTTAGTAGGTACAATCATATCTTCCACTGAAGAAATACAACATTAAAAAGGTGAATGAATGATGATGCTATTCTAAGAAAGTAGTGCATTCTGGCAGGTTTGAATGGTAGCACAGGGGAAAAATATGTGATCTGTGGGCCAGGTACCTTTCTTAAAGCCTTAATGTAAGGTTGTTCCTGTGAAGAAGCTATTACATCTTGAATTTTCTTCTTGTCCTTTTAATGTTAGAAAATATATGGGCTGTTGAAAGTTTATTTTCTAAATATATGCTCTCTAGAATGTCAGATAGAAGAGGGCTCCCTGAAACACTTATGAAACATCCTGACCTTGAAACAGGCATTACTGTTGAAGAGGAGTAGCAGGAAAATATTCTGGTTACCTCAAACTGCAAATTCTTGTATGCTGTATCTCTTCCATGGTGCTTTGCTTTTTTTTTTTTTTTGGTTGTTTCATTTTGCTAAATATATTTATTTTTGTTACGTTGGTGTTTATGAATATTCTAGAAGAAGATGGTACTTCTAGTAACAGAGCAGCTCTTTGGTATGCTTTCTCAGTGTGTCCCCCTTTTCACTAGAATATAGAGAATATTCTTCATATTCTGGTGAAAAGGGATGTGCTCAGTATACAAGTGATACACTAAACTGTTGCAACTGTTACCAGCAGGTGCCCCAAAATGCAAGTGGACTACTAAACTTTTTCCACTGTTACCAATAGCAGCATGGAATGTAAAGGTCCAAGGAGAGACGCTAAGTAGTAATACTGTTTACTTGTGAAAGCAAGATAATAATCATCAAATGAGCGAGATGAAATGAGCTCAGTGTGACTTCCTTTTTTCCTTCACTGAGGTTGATTTTAATTACATAGCGTATAAATACTGGTGGGTGACCAAAGAGCAAAACTGTAACCCTAGGCTACTGGCTAGAACAGTGGAAGAACACATTAGACGGTACACAGACTAGGTATTTCCATATGAATTGAGCAAGATGAAAAGAATCCTAGAATGCTTTGAGTGATCATTATTATAATCATCAGAGAACTAGCAGAGAATGGCTAAGGCACTAGAATTCTGAAAATAGATGCATCTGCCTATCTTTAGAGAAGGAAAAGTAAGAAAGATATTGTAGGCCTGCCAGCTTAGTTTGAATTCTATATCTTCCACCATCCACTCATTATTGAAATAAACTTTTTTTTGGTATGCATATAGAAGCTAAAATGATTAATGATGAGAGTGTTCCGCTATTCTATGTCAGGCACAAAACATGCTAAAATAGTGTTATTTTGATAGAGAACAAGTTAAGCTGTAACTATCTTAAATTTTTGGCACCTTTTGATAGTGCTTCATACAAGCTGTGGAAAGGTGTGTGGGTGAGGCTATTTTAAGATCTGTTCACAACTTCGTATATTTCATAAATGAGTTTTTGGTGGTAAAAGGATTTAAAGTGCAGATGTTTCTCTTCCCCTCTGCATTATGATCAAGCGTAAGATTCTACACTTGTGCTCTTCTGTAGTCAAATACAGATTTGAAAAATTTGGCCAGAATTGGCCAGTTGCAGAGAGTGGGATAAGGGAGGTATTAGACAATCTCCTGCTGCAAACAAAGGTATGTATCTGAATGCATAAGTGAGTATAAGTCGTGTACCATTAAGTGTTCCTTCATCTATTCAGCACTAGGAAGACCCTAGCAATGCTTTCTCTGATCTTAAGGACTGTGCTTCAAAGTGCATTTGGAACAGTTGGAGAAACAAAGACGTGAAAACTCCAGTTCTCCCTCTCTTTCTGAAGAAAAAAAAAAAGGTGAGGCAGCTGTGAGTCTTCAAATGCATCAAAAGCTGTTTCGAAGACAGAGTAATCTTTTTTCCAGACTTATAGTGACTAGGACAAAAAGTAATCAGACTTAAAATTGCTATAAGGAGAGTCCTGGTAGCATTTTTTTCTACCTAAATGTTTCAGCAATACAGATAATAAAAAAACTGCAATACTTTGGGGAGATATTTTATGGTGCAGAATATTCAGCCCTTAAAAACAGGTCAGGCACACATTTGAGTGAGTGTTTTTCCATACGTTTTTCCCAGCCGCACAACCTACGAAATCTGTAGTTCATGAAGTACTATTTTTTTTTTTTGTTTTGTTTTCAGAAACTTTGTTAATCTGTAAAGGTGGTGTCTACACTACTGGAAACTATTTTAGAATTTAATTGAAAAATGCTGTTCACCTGTATTTGGGGGAAGTAGGTGATGTCCCAAAGTCCCTTTTCCTGTGATTCTTTGGACCAAGTCATTTCCTCCTCCCCGTCCCAGTGCCTGAGTTCTCTGCCTGGACTGGTCTCTTCTCTTTCTCCCACTGAGTAAGCAACACTCTCCTGTTGGCTGTGTGAGACCTTCCCTAGTATTTGCTGCATGGGCTCGAAGTCTGCAGACTGTAAACATAGTTTAAGAGTGGACACAGCATCCAGGGAAGGGTGGGGGCTTACAAAGGAGTTCCTCCTTTGTAAGTTTTTTTTTAGTGGTGCTATTGCTGCAACCTCAGCCCTGCTTCTTAGAGTACTTTGAAGATGGTGAGTGTATATGGATCTTGTTCGTGAGGTGAGTTCTTAAATCCATATTGAGTGTTAGAGTAATTGGTTGGAAATTACTGTTGAAGGAGGGCACAATGGTACTGCCCTGTATGTTGGTGGGAGTTGTCATGAACTTCTAGTAGACAATATTTGCCTATCACCATTTCTTTTCCTTTACAAAATCAATCAACAACAAATAAAACTATCTTTCAGATTTGGAGAAGAATAAAACTTGAGCTACTGTGAATTGTCTTATCAATGAGATACCAACATTTCATCTATTCCAACAATTTAAGAACCTTTTGTTTTACTGTTGTTTGCCTAGATAAAGAATACAGATGCTTGCATTCTTTGTTTGTTCCCTTTATAAAGGAAATGTGCCCCTGAAGTCATGAACCTGCTCTGAAGGACTCTTCTTTGCATACATGAATAATAGTCCTGAACACTGGGCCAGCTGCATCACAGTCATTCCCCTATTTGAATGTCCACTTGCAGGTGTCATGCCTTGCACTGTTACCTGTCTTGGTGTGGCATCAGGCACTTGGGGTATCACATCCAGGATTTAGGTTACAACTCATAACAGTTGCAGGGTTGGTCACAGTTAATCCATGGCATCTTCGATGCATATTCAAGACTTGCTGTTGTCTTTTGGGAGAGCTACCTTGCAGGGTGATTAAAAACACTGCCTACAGCAGCAGGAATAACTAGCAAGGAACTGTAGTGTGTGAAGGGATGGGGCTGTCACCGGAGACATGCTGTGTTGCTCAACTCCTGCTGCATTTCTGTGGATTCCAAGATCAAACTGGCAAACACTTTACTCTTGTGCACCTAATCCACCTTCCTAGTGCTTGGCGAGTCTTAGCAGGTAGTGTCATTTAACTTTGGAGAGCATATAATAACTGATTATAATAGTCTGGCCTTTCACACACCACACCCCCATATTTATTTATTTATTTATTTATTTATTACTAAAGATAGTATTTTCCTTGCTGCTCCTCCTTCTTGAAAAAAGTCCCTTTTCCAGGAACTTCATAGATTCAGGCACACGACTGAAAGCAGCTGGATAACCATGAATTACACTTTCCTAGTAGCGTGCAGTATTCCTGTTTGTTGGTGCTCTCCTGTTGGCTTGGTTTTAAGATTAAGCCCTGGGATTTCAAGTTCTGTGAGAAGCACCAGACAACTCAGCAGTGCCTGAAGCCATCAGGACAAGGACTCTGTAGCTGTGCGTTCTGCTTTTATTGTACAAAATGTGGTCTGGCGACTGGGGCGTGGTTACTGAAGGACAAAGTGCCTGGAGGGGGGCAGCTACGGGCTTCCTAGGGGTGAATATTTTCTGGAGAGGCAGCTTGGGCTCATGACTCCTGAAGTGCGTTCATCGCCTGGAGCAGGAGTCAGTCATGCCTGAGGAGGGGGAGCGGATGGTGGGGCAAGCACCGGGGAAACTTTTCCCTAGAAAACCGCCAGAAAACTGGCTGAACGCTCGCTGCCACCCTTATCCACAAAATACTCAGTGCGTGTACGTGTACGCTTTGTGTGCAGGTGTATACACGAAGGGTAAGGACACACAAAGGGCCCGTTCCCCTCAGCACCATGGCGAGGGAGGGGCGGTTGCTGAGGGGGGCGGCTTCCGCCGGGCCCCGCGTCACTGCCGTGCGCCGCCGGGGGCGGGGGCGAGCGGGGAAACGAGAAACGAAAGCGGCGGGGCCGGGAGCGGCCGCAGGGGACCGGGGGCAGGCGGAGGGGGCCGGGGGGCAGCGGCCGGAGCCCCCCCCGGCTGCACGGAGGAGGAGCCGAGGCCTCGCTGCTCGCTGTCCCGCCGGGGCTGGCTGCTCGCCCTTCGGGGTTTGGCGGTGAGGGGCTGCGAGGGAGCCCCGGGGGGGTCGGGGTTTGGGGTGGAGGTGGGTGTGGGGGTGGCTGAGGGGCTGGGGGGGGTCTGTGTGGTGCTGAGCGGCTGTGACCCGCTTCTTGCAGGCGAGATGAAGAGGAGGAGCGAGCCTGGCTTCGGCAGCCCGCAGGGGAAGCAGAAGAAGAAGGTGGAGGACCTGGGGCTCACCCTCAGCTCCACCTCGGACGATGAGGCGCAGCTCAGCAATCACACCACGCAAGGTGGGCGACCAGCATGGGTCTAAATCCTCGTCTGTGAGGCGTAGAAGGTGGAGGTGAACAACAATTGCATGGTGGATGAGAATTGCATGCCCCAAAGCTGTGCAGTTCTGGCTGTGTGTGGACAGCGTTAGCCTCCTCAGGCTCAGGTGCTACTTCTGGTTTGGAAACTTTCAGCACTAAGGGTCTGTACGGTACCAGAACGTGATGCTGTTTAGGAGATTCTTAATTAAGACTGACTTATTTAATTTAAAGAAAAATTTCTTCTCAGAAAGAGCAGTCAGGCACTGGGATGGGTTGCCCAGGGAGGTGGTGGAGTCACTGTCTCTGGAGGTGTTTAAGGAGAGGTTGGACGTGGTGCTGGGGGACGTGGTTTAGCGGGTGATACTGTTGGTAGGGGAATGGTTGGACCAGATGATCTTGGAGGGCTTTCCCAACCCTAATGATTGCATTTTGGAGGTGTTTAAGAGATATGTGGATAGGGCACTAAGAGACATGGCTTAGTGATGAGACTCGTTAGGTCAGGTTGATGGTAACACTTGATGATCTTGAAGGTCATTTCCAACTAGATAGTTCTATGATAATGCCTCATTGTATTAAAAAAAAAAAAAAGGCAAACCAAAAAAAAACACACCAATATTACTGCCACATTTTTAGCAGATGGAAGAAATTGAGACATATAGAAAGGGTATGTTAGGCTGGGGCTCTTGTGTTGTAGCTCCATCTTTTTTGCTGGTTCAATGTGATTTTTTGTTGTTGCTGTTGTAAGCTGTGGAAGCTTACAGGTATTTGGTTTCAGGAAGAAAAACTGCTTTGGAGTTAACTCAATTGCCTGTTTTTTTTTTTTTTTTTTTTTTTTGTTTGTTTGTTTGTTGGAGTTTGCTTTCTCACTCGGAGTATTCCAAAGATGAAGAGGGTGCCCTACACAACTGCTATCCCTATTGCAGAGCGCTTTAAACTCTTCCAGGGTAGTGGTGCTTTATGTTGCCTCATACATGTGCCTGCTGCTTCTCGGTCTTGGGATTTCTCTTGGTGATAGTATTAGTGAAAAAGGGCCTGAGCACAGAAAGAAGCCTTCCTCTTGTGAAAACAGAAGGGAATGTGTATGGAAGATGAGTGGTCAGTTTGGGAGGAGGTGTAGTGACAGGGTATGGTGTTTGTATGTCTTGCAAGACCAGAGGTGAATGAGGAGGTAGAGTTGTAGGGTGTCGGAGTTGGGATAGAGACTATCAGGAATTGAATGCAGGATTTAGGCTGAAAAATTCAAACAATTTTTTTTTCTTTTTATTATTGAGTTCAGTTATGGGTCAGGATAGGCTGTGAAACTTTATGGAACAAGTCAATGCATTTCAAGGAAGACATTCTGGATAGGTTTAAATGCTTGGCAGTCTGTTATGCCCATTGTGGTTTCAGATGGAAAAAAGTAAGTTGGAAGAGAGAAGTGTTTTGAGATGTATGTATTTACTGATCATGGCCTAGTGAATGTTAAAAGTAAGAAGAGTTGTGAAGGAACTTTCTTGAGGTTTTGTAATGGGTATTGTGTTTGAGGAATATCACAAGACCTGGGAAAAAAAAAAATAATAATAAAAAACAGCTCAAAAGCAGGCATTAAAGACAATTGAAGCTGTGGACTGGAGAAGCAGGAAGCACTAACTGTTCCTAAAGTAAAATCCTTTTTGATCTAGTTCATCTCTAAGAACTTTGTGAAGGAAAGGGAAATGTAGCTTTTATGACAGATGCTTGGAAAGCAAGATGGGCATGTAATATTGCAAACATGCTGTGTCATAGCTTTCTTTGTCTTGAGCTGGAAGTTTCAAAGGTTGGTACTGTAAACTCTAGTACAGAAGTTATCTTAAAGAGTGATAGTTCAGCTGCAGGGGTTCAACACACATTGAAACAGTTTTAACTACAGCTGCGTATTTCACTGCGATCTCTCACTTTCTGACCTGTTGTAATGACCTTTGCTAATTTTCCAGTTTTTTCCTGTTACTCCACTGATGCTCTGTTATCCATAGCAGGAAAATAGAGATCTGTGCGTTGGGAGAGGAATATTGTGTTTTTTTCTTATATCAGAACAAATTTAAGAAGAATTCAGTCCTTTCTAGGTTATGCCACGCTTTAAACATGTGCAGCTACCTAATTTCTTTTTAAATGATAAACAAGAAAAGGTAAACTCTATTAAAAACTTTATCAACAGCAATTTTCTGCATTATCTCATGGCAAGTTAGGTATATTTCAACCTGTAGTCGTGCAAAGAAGTACAGGGTGATTACTAGACCTCTGTGAACAAGGGAGGCTTGAGAGGCAGAGATGCAATGAAGAGTGTGGCTATACTTGTGGTTTGCTGCTCCAGTAGTCTTTATGGCCTGCCCCACTGCTGGTGCTAGACAAATTTCAGGAAGGATGAAGACGTTGCTTCATCCTCGTTGTGATCACACCACAGGAAAAGGGGGAGAACTCCCTGGGTTGTAGGGCCTCCCTCCCTACTCATCTGCGGGGCAGTCTGAGACAGCTGTGTCACGCCTACCACCTGATTCCTGCCCAGATCCCAGCTACACTCAGAGGAAATATGTTTGGGCATCTCAAGCAAAGCACTATATAGCTCATCCAGGCCTAGCTTCTTAGGCCAAATAGGTCCCAGGGTAGATCTGGGTGTGGGCAGAGCCCAAAGTTTGGTGGTCACAGAGGTTCAGCTGCATCAGTTTTAGGTGGCTTTCAGGTGACAAAAATTGGGTGTGTGCTGTGTGTGGTGTTCCATTTCTGCCTTGATTGGTTCATTGACTTCTTTAACTTCTTCTTTGAACCTTGGTCATTTTTTTTTTTTTTTTTTTTAATTAGATTGACGTTCTTTTGCATGAATTTGTATGCATTGGTAAACTTCTAGAGGTGAAAAATGGTCTTTTTTGTTAGTGAACTTGGGGCTTTCGCTGCTGAGGCGGGTGATGGAGTCAGCTGAAGTTTCTTGTGGGGTGCTAAAAAGGATGCAGCTCTGTCTTTCTGCATTATTGGCCATTTTGTAGATGTCTGTGTACTTGATTTTTGTTCAAGTCAGGGTTGCACGTGCCTCTGTAATTAGGTAGGGAAATTAGGAGAATCTAACACTGTGTCATCAAGGTGTCAGAAACTGCCATTTACCCTCAG